GTAAACCTCTGTCGTCTTCATCGAAGCGAGCACATCAAGGAACGAATGTCGTCGGTCGGGGTCTGAGGAGCTAAAGTTGTAAAGCTGTTTGCGTTTCTGGTATATCTCTCCGCCGGCGCGGATGTAGATGAAGAAGGTGATTAAGATTGCAATCCTGGGCAAGTCAGCGATGGCATCGTTGTTCTAGGAGAATTCATACCAGACGGGTCCGTAAAACGTTATAATGCGCCATATATCCCATTGGGGGGTGATCCAGCACCACAGCGTCGCATTGCCGTAAACCCTCTGTCCGTTATCGTTTTTGATGAAAATGTATACCAATGCGGGGACAAATGGGATGCCGTAACAGCAGACGAGGTAAGTTATCTCCATACTTCGTAGTCGTTCGGCATCGAATTTGTAGTAAAAGGTTAGGTATACATTGATGGCCATGGTAAGCGTCCAAAATGCATCCGCAGGCATGAACCTGCAATGTGTTAGCCATTGCTCGGACAGACGTCAAACATGCTCACATTTGTATAAGGAAAGCCTGAAGTTGGCAGCCCGGGGAATCAGGGGAGCCGATATATGACCGAGCCATGAGGGTCCCGACGTTTGACATCATGTTGCCAAAGGACGCAAAGAATACTAGCCGGTTGATGGGCTTGTGAAACGCTCTCGACGAGCAGAATGTGACGATGATGAAAACGCATCCTATCAAGGAAAGCACTGAACATGCCCGTTCGATGATACTAAACAAATCGAGGTCCCCCTTATCCAGGTTTGTATTTTCTTCGAGCGCGCCCATGGTGACTGGGTGTGTGATGATATATAGCCCAGTATAGGTGAAGGCCGTTGTGTAGCCGGCGGCCTTGTAGGATCCGAGACAGCAGGATCCGACAGTCGTATACCTCGACGCCCACCAGCGGTCAGTGGGACGGGAGAAAGTGATTGTCGATGACGGCGCCTAGAGGCCCTACTTCAAATATTTCGCTTGTGTCCGGATGTTCGACGATGTCGTTCTCCCTCGGCGAGGGTTACTAGTTCAATGTTGACAGCAAAAAGGTCCGATACTCAGCGGTATGAAGAGGTATTGCCAGCGCAGGCAGTGTCTGCGTGCCGCGTCAACTCTCCCCCAAGATCCTATGCTGACTCTTGGCCCAGATGGTCTACAAGAGAGCGCAAGCCGTTGTGCGTAACCGGAACCCAGGAACCGGATAGTCGAGCAATGAGACTCAACATGATTCAAAGAGGCAAAGACAAACAGAACCAAAAGCAACGGCGATAACAGCAAAATGTAGGAAAATCTTAGAGGGGAAAAGAGCGGAGCCAGTCATCAACTTCGTCGGGCCCTTGACTACCGCATGGCTCATACCAGGGGGAAGAGGGTGGTGTAGACCAGGATAGGTCAAGATGCTGTCCCCAAGTGCGTTCCATGTCGGAGTACCTGCACAGGGTTTGGCAGGTACCAATGGGCATGGAAGGCAGGGGAGAAGTTACGAAGATACCTGGAAAATGTTGGAAATTGACTGAGGCCGCCATGTCCGCCCAAAAGAGGGCAGAGCAACGAGGATCATCTACCGGTACCTTAGTTCGGTACGCTGGATCGGGCAAAGTGAAGGACTTGGCTCCAGCTTAGCGCGGGGTCAGATGAACCTGGGCACTCCGGGATGGGGGGTTTGCCCCATGCTCACCGGCGTGCGCCGTTGCAAGGGTAATCCTGAAAGAGTTGCTCGTACACTAAGATGGTAGCTGCACTTTGAGCAACGCCGTTTTTGGCACTAAAATTCAGGTCCAATTTTTGGAGTCCTTAGGGCATGCCGCTCAGCATCATCGGCTGGAGGCGCCTATTGCCCAAGGCAGATATCCTTGAGGAGCTCGGACGGGTAGGGCAAGGTCAAGGCGGCAGCGACGGGATGGTTGGCGGGAACGGACCAAACTGTATCTGTGAATTGGAACTTTTCTCAGCGCCACCGACAAATTCCAGAGAACCGTCGATTTCACTCCTCTTGGTGAAACCCTTGTCGAGTCACCACAGGGCAGAGATCGGGTGCCGTAGATTGCCATGTTCTGTCTTGTCAGCAGCTTCTTGCTCACTGGCTCAACCCATACTAGCAGGGTCGACTGGGGAGAAGAGCCGGTGCCCACTTGATGGGATTTTATCTCGGGCAACTGTCGAACAGAAGAGAAGCATCATGGTGACAATTTCAACTGCAGTCCTCTAATGGTGATGCCGAAAACGAGCCGTTGGTACGGCTGCCTCACTAGAGTACGTTGCACGGAGCTATCTGAAGCACACGCTACTCTATGGGCCGGGCGGCAGCTACCGGTAGTTAAGACAACCGTTTCTTCTCACCATCCCGGCTGATACGCCGGTTCCCTAGCGGTAGCCGAAGCGGTCAACATATGTGCTCTCTGATCTCGAATTATCAGACTGGACCCATTTCGAGAAGCGATCGATTGCTTTGCAGTATAGAGCCAACACCAAGCTGGCGATCGATTGAATGGCGTGGGAACGGCCATATAATCAGTGTCTCTTAACCAGGCCGGAAACCCGATGCCGTTGTCGGTCACGTGAAGAGCGCCATCATCAGCTGCCGTCTTCGAAGATGACAGGCGGGCGGATGCTGGAGAATTGGTTTTTCGACTTGGAAAGGCCTTAACGTTACGTTACGTCGCCATTGAATCTCAAACTACCTAGATTTTGATCAAGTGCAGGTACAGATAGCATCAGCGATACTGGACTGAAGCTGTGCTGCACCCAGACTGGATGGGAAGGCCGTGACAAGATACTTATTGGCGACCTTGGACAGGCTCTGATGAACAATAGCTGCAAAGTATTGCCCAGAGATGAGGGGCATGAAGCAGACAAAGTCCGGGGAGACAGACATATGAGATGAGTGGGTAGCCTAGGAGCGAAGCAGTCAGAGAAAAGCAGTTGGGATTGGTTCATGGCTGGAGTGTCATCACAAGTGGAGACAACCATTCCCTAAGCTTACCAAGCCGGGGAAAGTGGGGTAGCTATTACCTACTGGATGGTCGGCTCAAAGACATGTCTTCCCGGGAATACGGCTACCACACGCTTCCCAAGTCAAAACACTCCTTCTATGTATGGATACTTCCGGGACACACCCTTACTTACCTAGTTCATTTATCCCCTGCACCTGTGCGCTGTGCAAATACCCTTGTCGATTACTAACAACTCAGCTTGTCATTGGAAACCCAGGTTCATTTTTTGCTAATATTGTTGGCCGTTGCAAAATACCACGTTTCCAGAGACGCAACGGACCAGCGGCGAAACGGTGCCAGAAACAGGATCATGAAGATGTCAGTTCTGATATTCGCTAGGTAGGTGGATATCGACGGCGTCTGCGTCAAATATGTAATAAATCGGCTCTTGGCTTTCAGCTTAGCTCCACAGATCCCCCTTCCCAGTTCCATTAGCCTGCTTCCTTTGATAGGACAACACGCCTATTTCGGCAACCAATAGGTATGCGTATTGTTGCTACTCTAATCGAGCCTGGGAATTCTATCTCACCCATGGGACGCGTGCTTGTTCCTCGCCATGGGTTTGTGACTCTAACGGGATGTCTTATTGGGTTCGTACAATGCCAGCCAGCCGAAGTCAAATATACGACACCATACATGATAGTACACTGCATCTCGCTCTTGAGAGAACCAGTATGGTAACAGGGCAAGTCAGGCTAGACTGCAGAGGGGCGCCCGGGGTCTAGCGGCTTGGTCTAGATAGCAAGAAAGGTGTGGCGAACATGTTTCGGGAGCAGTTCCATCTCCTAAGCCACCAAGGTCCGGTGTCGTTCAAACTCTCGATTCGTCTTTGGGTGAGGCTATGTTGCCCGCTGGATGCCGTACGATATGGTACCTATGATGTCTTGGTACTGCTCAACTAACTTCCTCATCAAGCCTCCATAACTGAAGCGCTTCTGCACGATGATACTGATATATGGGATGACTACACTGAAGCGTCTTTTCGAGAAGAAGGAAGATTCACATATCGAAATGGACGAGAGCCACCAAGGCAACTTCGCAGAAAGGCGACGCCTCTGAAGGCCCTGATTAAACAGGGACTATCCGGCTCCCAAACCTAGGATCAGTGTACTCTCCATGTAGCCCAGCTGCGTGAAACGAACATGGCTTCTGTTCTGTGAGCCAACGAAGCCCTCCGTCAAGAGCTTATCCAGAGGCGCCAACAACGTTGTCATATTCTCCTAGTGTGAAGGACCTCATACCTGGAGGTGTTCTTGCCAGAAATCACATAAGCAACAAGGAGATATACACACCCCCTTCCCAAAGAACCCAGCTTTTATCCGACCGGCTGGGATGTCCTCCCCCACAACGCCACTTGCCAGCAAAGTGATTCACCTCTGCGTTTGGGCGATCATGTTTATATATACCGACATGGACTGCTCCAGGAGACGGCTCATACGATCTGCTCAGGCTGAGGGGTTAAATGACAGCCCGCCACCGACGTCGCTTTCATGGCTATGGTGAAAAAGGGTGCAAAGTCTGAAACCGAGTGTTTCAGACACAAGACCTTCCGCGTCAGACGTTCAGAAGATTGATGAAGCCTCTAGAGAATTTTGGTGTCACTGCAAACGAAGCACTAATATGGACAGTGGGTTCTTCATGGAATGGTCGATCTGCTAAGGCACTAATATTTTAAATGATGTTGGCAAGAAGGAAACATTTCTCTTAATAGTAGCATTGGCAAGAGCCTGCTCCCTACCGTTACTCTGATGGTGGATAGTGTTTGCAACGAGGTTATGATACAATCAATCTCCAGTAAGTTACGACAGCAATTTATATCCTGCCACTTCCAAATGCTTCAAGCTCTTTGTTCAGCCTATACCTGATCCATTATCAGTGGTTATCAGAAGGTTCGAGATGGAGGGTAGTTCACTCCTTTGAGGTATTGGTCGCGAGTGAGTAGATCGAAGTTTCTATATACATCTATACGCGCTGTGTGAAAAGAAAAGATAAGATATTTTTGTCGTGTTCGACAGTGTCCCGTTATCCCATTGTCTTGCGTCAATGTCGACCTTCACATTAGGGTTTTCAAGCTGAAGCAGACCAACAACCTCAAAACACAGCGACGCGTATGTTCTCGTCACATAGCAGCCTTTACTATCCCTTGAATATTGATAGACCGACTGAGGTACGAGCACTGGCTCCTTCTATCTTTGTCGGGGGTGCGATAGACGTTCGCAGCTAGAATACTCCTGACTGTGTGCGTCTCTTGGCATCCTCCACGAGATGAGGCCTAGACCATGATTCCGCCATGATTTACTCATTCTGCTCAAAATACAATAGTCTCCATTTCATCAGCACCAGAGAGTATTCACAAGCACCTTCTGCCCCATGAACCGAACCCAGATAGCCGTCGAAGCCTCAGCACCTTGGAACTCAAAGGTGACTTCCCATACAGTTGCTCCCTTCAAGCTTCATCTCGAAACACGCTACGATGCCGCGGAGAACCAGATCAAGCAAGAGACCGCATAAGCACCGCCAAGAAAACTTTGAGCCGACTCTCATCCCCGCCCAGAGCCACGCTGTCGACGAAACGCACCATCAACACCGGTCACGAAAAGACAGAAAACCAGCCAGGGGATGCCGGAGCTCGTCCGTACCGTACAAGCCCTCGAGAAAGCAACGCCACGACAGGCACACTCGCCGCACCGTCATTGAGATGGATACGGATGGCGACTTCACCATGCTGCCCACACCCCCAGCCTCACCAGAGACTCCATCCCTCACTTGCACAACCGCCCACAAAGACAGCATCATAAATACGGGCGTCGCCAGCAGCCGTGACAGATGCTCCAACCCAGAGAGTTGCGTCTCTCTAAGGTCTTCAAGAGTCTTTCCCGGAGGTTCCTCCACGGCAGCCCAGCAGTCTCCCGGCGACACGACTTTGAAGAATTTCCGATTTCGACATTATTTACTTTCTATGCTTGACCAGCAGCGTGCCGCCGTTGAGTTGTGGGCCGATAGCGTTGGTGCTGGAGGGCCCGCGGAGCCAATGGACTGGCAGCCAGAGCAGGAGCGGATCGTCTATATTGCGCGGGATCCCGTGGAGTACGGGTGTTATGAGGATCGGTGGAGAATGGATCGTATGTTGCTAGAGGGATGGCGGCAACAGCAGAGCATGTTGGCAGCGGCAGCAATGTCGACGCCGGTCATGGTGCAGCCTGAGCTGGGGTTATGGACCGGTGATACGCGTCTTGGTGGGCCGACAGTGCCGGTAGTGTGGGGGGATTCTGCACCTGAGTTATGCTTTCTCGACGAGATTGAGTGAAGTCGTGGGAGGTTGTGTAACTAGATCTGGGTATGTCAGAGTAAGTATGGGGTTGGGGGGGACCCAACATTTGCATCACCGACACATCCGATGCAGACCAATACACAAACAACTACTACTGTTTAAGTCTACAAGTCCGCATTAAACATGCCATTTTCACCGCAGAGGACTTTTTGACACCCATAAGGGTTAACATGCAAGTTCTGAACTAGACCAGTCCTAAATTCCTAACGCCTGTCCAGATGAAGTCCGACCGACCGTACCCATTGAAGCAAAAGTCAAATCTCGTGGGAATCTCGCAAATGTACAGATTCAACCGCTCACCCACCCCCACTCTATCACGCACAACGCATGCTTTTTCACACCAGTCTTTCATCGTCTCCTATGTCTTCGCACCTTATTTCGAGTAGCGCGAGTACTCGGCAGCGACCAGGCAGTGGTCACGCTCGAAGGGTTCTGCGGATTATTAGCCTTCATGTCCGCGTGAGGGGAATGTAATGGGGTTCACCAACCTAGCGTAAGCTGCTCCTTGGGCGTGATGCGCTCCGCTCTCAGCTTCTCAACCTCCATGGCGAAGACCTTGTGAGCCGGGGCAGTACTGTCGATACAGTTGGCCTTGATAGAGATGAGGATGCCGCCGCCGACCTTGAGGAACTGGTGAGCGTTCATAGCGACGATACGGGCCTGGTCGGGCTGGGCGACGTCGGCGAAGATAGCATCGACCATGGGCATGAGCATGCGGTACTTGAGAGGCTGACGGGCATCCTCGACGATGGGGACGACGTTGGTACGCTTGGCAGCCATGCCGATCAGATCACGGCCGGAGCGAGGCGAGAATTCGACGGCGTAGACGAAACCGGTGGGACCGACAATATCGGCAACGTGGGAGACGGAGGTACCAGACGCACCACCGAGGTAGAGGACCTTGGAGCCGGGTCCGAAGTAGAGCTTCTCCAGACCACCGATGACGGCAGCAGCCAGCTTACTGCGGAAAGGGTTCCATACGCGGTACTCGACCTTGGTGGTTGTGGTGGTGCCGTCCTCGTTTTGGACGCTGTCGTCGACCGAAACGCGCTTCTCGCCGTAGACGGACTCGCCAGGGACGATGTTGCGGGTTGCAATGGCATCCTCCTTACCGCGGACGACGAAGATACCCTCGTGACGGTGGGGTTCCTGGGGTTGTCAGTCAATGTTGTTCTTCCGAGGCAAAATGGAAACTGGTCAACATACCACAATGACCTTCTGGCCACCCTTCTGACCAGGCTTGCCGCCTCCACGACCGCCACCCCTGCCGCCGCGCTTGTCAATGCCTCCACGGCCACGAGCACCACCGCGACCACCACCTGAAGGTTCATCAGTACACAAGTTCGCACACCGCCAACGGTTTGTTCTCAAAGCTCACCGCGACCACCGCCACGTCCGCCGAAGCCTCCGCGACCGCGATCACCGCCGAAGCCGCCACGGCCACCACGGTCACCGCCGCCAAAGCCTCCGCGGCCACCACCGCGTCCACCAGCTCCGCGGGGAGCGCCGCGACCACCGCCACGAGGCACGAAGGGAGCCATGTCTGATTGTTTATTCGGAAGGTATTGTTGAGAGTTGTTGTAAATGGGGAAGGTGAATTGGGTCAAGACAGGCAGTTCCCACGTTGTGTAAAATCGAATTGGGGGGTGTCAGAGGCGCAAGTGGTATCCTCTTGGTGGCGGGTTGAGCACTGGATATACACTTTGGCTGGGTGATTGAAATTTTTCGTCGGACTTTTTTTCTGGGAGCTCCAAAAAGATGCACGGACCAGGAGGCATGCAGAGAGAATGTGGGGTCATTGGTTCGTGATTGGGCGCGGCGGAACGACAGAAGTGCCGTTTTCCGACAGGAATTTTTTCCAGAGATTAGATAACGCCGCTGCAAAAAGACTGGGACCCGATAGACGTGGGTGTCGGTGCACTAGGAATAGGCGGTGCGCCGAACTGTCGATTTGAAGGAGACGGGCTGTCGACAATTTTTCACTCCCCAAACAACCAGCAAACTTGATGCGATACTAACTCGAAAGAAGGAATTATCAAGAATTTCACACCACTCCCAGTCGTGAGTGCATCCGATTTCCCCTCGCCATTTTCCCCCTTCCTTCTCTGGCTTGTTTGGCCCAAGAACCGCTGTTTCTTACCCCATAGGGCTGCGGAGCCCTAAGGGCGACCCCCCTGCCGTTGCCCGATCCGCAAGCGAGAGCCAACCCGCGCGCAGGAGGGCTAGGGTCGCTGAAAGTTGTGAATTTCTTCTAACCTCACTCTGACAGCCAGCCCAGTCCACGACGACCACCGACGCCCCGAAACCATCACCGCACCCAACGATCAAGATGGTAAGTTGCGCGCCGCTCCCCGTTTGTGATGTTCGACGAGGGGAAGAATTTGTGAACCGACGAGAGATCCGCACGCAATTGCCGCCGAAGAAAGCCCCTCGTCGATGAAAGCAAAACCACCAAGTTTCGTAACATGGAAAATCGATCACCGCACGATATGCAGTCTGGGGTGCTGGGGGGGAAATACGGCCTTAAGACCTAGAGACTGACACATTCGTCCTCAGGTTCGTTACGCTGCTCAAGAGATCGCCCCCGCGAAGTCGGCCCGCGCCCGCGGCGCCTACCTCCGCGTGTCCTTCAAGAACACCCGCGAGACTGCCCAGGCCATCAACGGCTGGAAGCTCCAGCGCGCCGTTACCTTCCTCGAGAACGTCACCGAGAAGAAGGAGGCTGTCCCCTTCCGCCGCTACGCCGGTTCCATCGGCCGCACCGCCCAGGGCAAGGCCTTCGGCGTCTCCAAGGCCCGCTGGCCCGTCAAGTCCGCCGAGTTCCTCCTCGGCCTCCTCAAGAACGCCGAGTCCAACGCCGATGCCAAGGGCCTCGACACTGGCAACCTGGTTGTCAAGCACATCCAAGTCAACCAGGCTCCCAAGCAACGGAGACGCACATACCGTGCCCACGGTCGTGTACGTCCTCGATTCCTAGTCAACCCACCCCAGAGCGTCACTGACAGCCACAGATCAACCCCTACATGTCCAACCCCTGCCACATCGAGCTTATCCTTACCGAGGGCGAGGAGGTCGTCCAGAAGTCTGATGCCGTCGCCGGTCGCGAGGAGGTTCGCCTGAACTCCCGCCAGCGTGGTGCCCGCGTCCGCCAGGCCATCACCGCCGCATAAACGAACTCTTTCAGTAGATGGTCTTCGATTTTTGTGCGGTTCATGACGTGGGGGCGTTGCGAAGTGTGGAAACGCGGAACACCTGGGAGGTCTTGGGTTGATGGAAGCGTGGATCAACTAAAAATAAAACTTTGCGGCTTTTCATATGCTGGTGTACAGGAAGCCTATGGTCTCATGGCATTTAGGGATTGGCATGCGAACTCACACGCAACGGTCTGCATGGGCCACCAATAAACAAACATGCAAAAATGATTCTCCTAGGCGGCCCTAGCTACATCATGATTGGCGTCAATGGATATGAGGAAATTGCTTTCAATTCTGTTCAACAATTTTGGGAACCCCGAGTCATCCTTACCCGGTGATGAGGTGATGCTGCCTGTCTCCGTCTTTAATCCGGTATCAGCCCAGTAGTATATATCCGACAACATGCCCACTTCAATGTCTTGCCATATTCCCATTCGCAATAGTCCTCCCATGGTATCGTAGTCCAAACGCCGAAGGGGTAAGTAAGTTACCAGCAACCCATTGAAATGCAATTCCAAGCATCATTATACATACCAGTTTTCATAATACAGCCACGTCTATCACGCAGACTCAGCTCTGCTGCGCCGACTTGATAATTGTTCCACTAAAGCGTCCTCTGCCAGGATGCATGATGCCGTCCGTCTTGGCAGCTTCAATGACTGCTTCGTCATACACACTGGCCCACTCCGTATCCACGCCAAATGCAGTGGCCAGATTGAAGTGCTCCTGGCTCGTCAAGTGGTTGGTGATCTTGGCTGCGAGTCTATCGGTGCACACCTGCATGAAAGGCGCCAGCTCTCTGCGCCGCGCTATAACGTCCTGTGGCGCTTGCCTAGGAGAGTGTGCACCTAAGATGCCAGTGTTGTCGATAGAGGACACATCCACAAGCACGTAGCCGCACGACTTGAGCGATAGGTGGTTAAGCATCAAGGAGGTCTTCTCGCCGACGAGACCACGCGGACGCGGAATGAAAGAGAAACCATCGTCTCGTTGCACAACATCATCCACCCGATCGCCTCCGTCTGTTTCATCTCCTTGACTGGCAAGTAACTCTTGGATTGAAAGCGCCGGCGAAAGGCGATCAAGAATGCCGGCCCACGACAACAGTCTCGGCTGTCTAAGCCGCATCCTGCTCCAGTTAGGGATCGGATCCGGCAGTGGATGAGGGACTTGGTTCGCCGGTGGTAATGGAGGAGGGCCTTGAAGCAGTCCGGCGCCTGTGATGCCCATATGATGTTGGAGCGGCGGCAGCACCAAAGTACCCGCTTGATTGGAGACCAGAGCCGGGAGCAAATTGGCTTGCGGTTGAAGAGGGGCGGGTGGCAATGCGGGCGGTTGCTGCTGAGCTGCCTGTTGAGCCTGTACCTGGATTTGAACGGGTGCCCCAACGACATGGGCATGCGGATGGAACACAGCATTCACGTGGCCTTGGTCCCGTGTGGGCGAACCTGTGAGAGATACGCTTTCCAATTCGAGTTTCTGCAATGACTGCTGTGCCATCGTTCGGAGTGCCTGGAGGAAGACGTGGGGTGCAGCATAGCAGTTCTTCAGCGACAGGTGTTTGACGTGCGGCAGTGATAGCAATACGCCTGGCGATATTGCAGTTTCGGGGTGTACCATCTGCTCAGGCGAGCAAAGCGGAGCTGGAAGCACATATAGGTTGCGCTGAGTCATGCCGGGTGCAAACTCGCCGCCGCAGATCCACTCGAAATGGAGAAACTTGATATTCTCTTGCTTTGCGACGTGATCCCGGAGCAAGCGGTAAACTTTGGCAACAGAATCCACGGGAGATACGAAGGTATCCTCGACGCAGCCAGGCGCCACCTTGGCTACTTGGCGCCAATCGGCGACAACGGCCAGAGCGACGTTTGTTAGGTTGGGCAAGCTCCGCCAAAAGTCCGGTCTCTGGAACATGAAGATGTGACTGCTGGGTATCTTGGCAATCGTTAGCGTTGTCAGCGAGTTGAAACTGTTCAGCTGAGCGTTATCAATGAGCGCAATCACGTATGATTGAATGAGAGCTCGGTGTGCCCACTCTAATTCCAATAACATCTCCTTCTGCCCTCTTGTCAAGTTTCTGGGCTGCAGTGGGTGACCCACGGCCGTATCGTTAAGTGCCGCTACCATAGTCCGCGTGAAGTTTTCATCCTGCTCCTGATTAGGGGCAGCATTGACGTGGTGCAGGGCGACACGGTTGGTACTCTGGCTCTCAGGGTTGGCCAGAGCGGCGGCCGCAGCCGCGGTACGCTCATCGAAGTCGATACTTGTCAAGGAGACGTTCTCAGTGCTTAAGAGCATCGCGATAGCATCCCTGGATTGGTCCTGCGTGTATCCGGCATTCCTGACCATTGATTCAAGAACGGTGTACTTGAAATCTCGGGGACTTTCGAAGGCGAGTTTACGGGCGTTCATAGCGTCTGAATCAGCTCGGGCTAGGCGTCGCTGCAGCGTTCGGTACCGCAAGTTGCGGAGGCCAAAGACGGGATGCGGCAACGGTGGGCTCTCCAAATGCTGATCGGGGCCCAAGAGGTAGCCCAGTCCTGCGTCGCAACACAGTCCCAGTTCCTGAACATGAACCAGATAACTCAGAGCCTTCTTCATAGAAGGTGTCTCGTCGGCAGTCTGCTCCAGTCCCTCAAGTTCTGTGTATCGAAGGTAGGACTCGTGAGGCCATCGGTAGATGCCCCAGTACGAGGTAATGGCCTTCTGGGTAGGCTTAATGGGTGGGTACGCAAGGCTCTCCTCATCGATCTCGAGGGATAGGGCGAAACGCAGAATATGGTCGCCAAAAGACTGGAGAATGCGCGTGCCACTCGAAAAGAGTGTATCTTTGCCCGGCTGCGCCTGCTCATTGTCGTCGTCCTCCAGAGACGTCTTCTGTTTCATGGCCTGGTACATCTCCGAGCGGAAGGGGACCACGACATTACGAAAATACTTCGCCGAGACCATTCGATCGAACTCATGGTTAACCAGACGGAGATTCTTAACGTCTGAACGAGACAGATATGTGGTGATCTCGTCAAATATTTCGACTGGAACCTTGGTGGGCGGCCAAGTGGGCAGCATCGGATCTGAGGTCATGGAGCCCTGGGAGCGAAGCCTGCGTCGCTTTCTGGGCATATCGGGAGAGATAGAATCCCGGCTAGGCATGGCTATCGCGGAGGTATCCCGGCATTGATGGAATACGTAGGGAAGCGCTGATCGGATCGCAAGGCTTTGTTGAGGTTTGGGGAGGATTATGGCTCGGTAGTTCGGTAAGGCCTATATTTGGAGGTCCAGTCGGTGAGGTACACAGTCGATTTCTCAGAACGTTATATGCCTATTTAGCGGGCCGAAATTTGAACCAGAGTTAGGAGGAGTTGTGACAGGCGTTGAGAAGAGTCGTGGTCGCTATAAGAATAATCGGAAATGGTATCGTCAATCGTCAAATCGTTGAAATCAAGTCATAGCGAGTGGGGTGACTTTGGCTATAGCTATAGTGATGCTGGCTGGTGTACACGAAGTTGCGCAGTGCAATGGAGCATTCTCACTCGGGTTTATAGCGTGTTACGCTTGGCGATACGCTGATTCGAGGTCTGGTGTTGTTGAAAGGAAAGGCAAGGAGGGGGGAAATAAGAGTTGTGAGGCACGTTCGGAATCCTCAGTGCAGGTGTAGATAGGTAAGTAGGTTAAATGTACCAGGTCCACTGTGAAATGAAGTCACAGCAGCAGCCTGGCAGACCCATTTCAGTGGGATAAAAAGGTCCTATGATTGCCCAGCACCAAAACTTCAGTCCGGCATGTCGGTGCCTTTAAGCGGGAACGCATGGAATTTTTGGCAGGCGGCTGTGCTTGGCGGGGTACTTGCGGCGCTTGCTAACGTCAACTACATTAGTTATGTACCTACCTACCTAGGTAGATAGGTAGATAGATAGTGGGGTTTCAGGGTCCAGACCTATGGTCGTGAATTCAATTTCTCCTGCTCACTTTTGGTTGGATCCATCCGGCCTCTTTTTGTTTTACTCGCAGCACTTCTTGCTGTCCTACACATCAGTCATTGTCAGGTCTATTATTTTCTCTAGGCCCCTACAAAAAAAAAACAAGATACGACAACCAATGTGCTTTGTTCTCAGTCGTCTATTTATCTACCCCACCCACTCTGAAGCCAATTGACATACAGCTTTACTCGACCCCGTGGATACCAAGATCGATGTCCCGGGTTGGTGTAGATGGTTTCTGCTGCATGCCTTTCTAGTACATACGTTATACCGCGTCCTAGGGATTTATGGTTCACAGCAGTAGCCTATCTGAAATCTCGCCACGTTCGTGGATCATTACACCTCAAGACACGCAAGTACTCAGCAGACACGCCTATATTATCAATTTTATCTGATGGCCAAGCCGCTGGCCGTCTCACTCTTGAGCCTCAGGCTAGAATTACTAAAAGATGATCATTGCCATGGGTTACATGACGGTATATCGAATCGAATAGAACGGATACAAATATCTCGGAACACGAGCACCCTAACGCCATTAAGCACAACAATACTGCTTTCTGTAGCTGTTCCCATCAAGGTGTTGAAGATTTGACGATCTCTTGAGAGGTGCCAGAGTAGAACCAGTATCTGTGCAGTAGTCAGTATTGGAGCAGTTGCACAAAAGCCCGTTTTACTTACTGTGCAGCATATTGTATCTCGAACGCTGCAGGCTGGTCCTTGCATGAGGCCGGAGCGCTGCCGCCGACGGTGTGTATCCTGTAGACCTCTTGGATATTTCCGGTACTGGGCTTAACGGTCTTCAGTCTAAGCCACGCAACAGCCGCCTCGCCGTGCTGGCCTGTTTGCGCTGTGAGAGGTGCCGGCATGGACGCATTCTTGGAGCAATATGAATCACCTATAGGCGATCCATCTGTTTCGAGGATGAAGAGCGGCACGCCAGCGTCTGTGAAGAGGTGGTGACCCGAGATGGCGAGGTTGCTTGGGCCGAGGCGATGGTTCACCGCCTCCTGCTCAGTGAGGTTGAAGTCCATGGCAACTACAGGCAGCTTGTCGAGCAGGTCTGGGTACAAGGAGCCGACGCAGCTAGCGTTGAAGAGCGTGGCGATGGCGCCAGTAGCGACGGGCACCGCTGTTGCGTTGCTGGTGTCGCAGGTGTAGTTTTGTGTACCGCGGCCGATGGCGATGTGTGCCAGGGACATGCCCTTTCCGGGTCCCCCAAGAGACTCAATGGCGGCTGAGGGTGTATCAGTATAGGTCAACTCCCAGAGTTGGTTTGCACCGCTCACATTTGGGCAGATTAGCGACAGATAAATCGCAGACCGGTGTGGCAGAGAGATACCGGGTGGCCTGGACCTTGGTTGCGAGCATGTTAAAGTATTCAGAGATGTGCTCAATAGAGCCCGGCAGCGCGGCCTGCAAGTTCAACGTGGGATAGGCTGGCGCAGCAAGAGCAAGAGATGCCAGAGCCGGCAACAGGAATGTTTGGCAATGCATGTCGAATGCTTCTGCGTAGGTACTTCTGAGGCTGAGTTGATGGCGTAGGACGTTGACTATGAGTGGTTGTGGTCGTTATAGAGATGGTACAACGACTCGAAATCCAATGCAGAAAATCAGACGGGACCAAGGAAACCGAACGTTAAGAGAAAAACGAGAAAAAAGAGGACGGAAAAGAAAGGGAGAAAAAAACTTCGTCTTTCAAATGTATGGGATGAAGCGTAGAGAGGTAGAGCTGCCACAGGTCCGTTGCGTAAAGCGGGCAGCCGTTTCTAATATACCACAACATCATCAACAGCTTTCGTCGGCGGCAACGGCTGCCACTGGTCCACTCATGTCTGGACCAAAGGTAGGTATGGTGGCCTGCCCGTATTGGTATGGCACGGTATTCGTAGTTCAAAAGAGGATGGCGGGGGGGCATGGCCAGGGGTCTGTCGATGTGTGTGCGAGGCAACGCGTAGGTATTCGCAGCATTCAGAAAGCCAAGATCGGCAGCCGCCATACCAATGTAACCGTACAACGGGCGGGAAAGCAAAGAGGGGCAAGTCGTTGAACGAGGGCGAATGAGCGGATGGGCGGAATGCAAGTACTATCAGGGGGTGTGGGAGGCCAGGCGATCTCCGCCAGGGTCGGGGCAGATATGCAAGCGCCCGGCCCGCTTCGAGGGCCTCGTTGTGTGGTGACAGGTAGCGATGCAATCCGCGTCTGCTGCTGCAAAAGTCTCGAGGCAATGTACTCGTGGTAATGTCGCGTTGTGTTGGGCTTCCAGTATTTGCTGTCCAGCGGAGGCCAAGCAATCATCGTGAACAGCTGCACAAGCACTTGGCTGACGAGACCGTTCGCTATTCACCGGCGAGACTCAACTCATCGGGCTATCTGCCGTCCGTTGACATTGCGCCAAGGAAAAGCCCCACTCGAAAAGCCGAGGGATAACGAGCGCCTAAGAACCTGAAATAGCAACAACAATCGCGTCAATATTCCATCCTTATAGGATGGCTGAGATTACCAAGAGACGGTACCATCCCGTACGAATATCCGTTCGCTCCCCGGCGACGCGCCCATGTTGCATGTACCCGCTCTTGCGCGTTGCTTTTGCCGCGCTGAGCCAGGGCTACGACGATCTCCCATTGGCCCCTGCGAAACACTCCATCTGGGCCGCCTTAACGGGTCGGCGCCAACGGCCCAGGTCGAATTGCCTGGCAGCTAGGAGGACTTTCCAAGGAAAAACAAGAATAGAATCTTTGGCGGGGAGCCACGCGTGCGAAACTGTCTTGGATCCATGCCGCCCAGCGCATCTCGGATCTTTGTAGGCGTTCCCGCCCTTCCCCGGTAGCCGATATTCTCAAGTGATCTGGTTGGTATCTGTATTTTGACGAGAGCCTTCACCAATCCCGCAACCCATAGCACATGTCATGATGCTCAATTGTACAGTTCTCCGGAAAACAAGTCTTGCATACAAGCTGCACTCGCGAAACAGCTCGTCGCCGGTCCAGTTGATGCCCCGTTCGCTTCCCTTCTCTTTCGCCGACCAAGGTCTGTCACTGAATACCTAGTGCCCACTGAACCCTTCTTCGTGCCAGTCGCCGTGGGTTCCGCCGACCTTTCCATTCAAACCCCCCGCGCCAGCGGCTGCTGCTGCTGCTGCTGTCGACTTGCCTAAGTTGCTGGCGTGCTTCTCCACGTCCACTGTGCCAAGCCAGTATAGGGAGCAGAAGACGAGCAAATGCAATGCAACACAATACGCCGCGAAGAGATTTCTGCTCGTGCGTGAGGCAAGCACCATCCGCGTTACCGAGTATACCACCCGCTCTGGGAAGCTCATCCGCTTGTAGGCCCTGGCAGATTCCCGCCCGCGGAAGGCGGCAAATGGTGAGATGTTCGACTCGTACGCCTTTCGATATCTATCCATGGTGATACCCGGGTTCCCGCTGCCTCCGATCGAAACCGTCGACGGGTTGGGGTTGGATGAGTATGCTGCTGATGATGACGTAGCCGAGGGGCCTGCTCGGTTGTATGTCGAGACATACCTCGTCTTCTCGTACAGGTTAAGGTTGTCCTTCTGCAGAGCCGACACCTCTTGCCTCAGCTGCGACACCGTGCGGTGGGTATTGGACAGCTCAGTCTCCAACTCGGCGATCCTCTTCTTGAACCGATCGCGCTGTGCCGTGATCATTGGCAGAATTCCTGAGCCGCCGCCCATCGGTTCACCGCCAGACATACGGGGGTCGATCCCACTAATGATGGATGATGTCGGCGATATTCTTCCCCCCCTTCGTCCCGGCGCAACCGACGGCGCGTAGCGGGTGAACGTCCCTGCTACGGACGCGCCTGAAGGGAAGGCGTTTGAAGTCTCCGATTGCAACGTCGCGAGATCATTTTCGAGACGTTCGTTGAGTTGCTGCGACTTCTCGAGCTCCATGTTGGTCCTTGACATCTCTTCTTGGAGATCGGACAGCTTGGTCTGGAGGTCTTGGTGAGACACACGCAGAATGGTGAGCTCGTCGCTGAGCTTCTTGTTTCGCGCCAGCAGTAGTTTCTCAAGCGTGTCGCCTTGGCTCTTGGTCTCTGATGCACTTTCAGCAGCTTCCTTCACATCGTCGTCTTCGCCTGTCGAAAATTCGATGCTCTTAAGCACCTCGAGCTCCTGCTTCACGTCTTCGTAGTCACTCCATTTCTGCACTTTGGCCTTCAGGTTATCTCTTTCGTCTTTGAGGAGGCCGGCCTCCCTTTCCAGGCCGCGAAGACGAGAGTCTAAATCACGCTTGATGCCCTCCTTTTCGACCCGAGCAGCATCGAGTTTCCGGATGAGTGATGAGTTTTCTGATCGCATGCGCATGTAGCCCGGGTCATCCTCCAGCGACGTTGGCGCTTGAGAGGTGACAGAAGTTTTTGCCTGTGCCAATTCCAGTCTCAGCTGCTCGTTTCGTGCCTCAACCTCGGCCAGTCGTGCGCTTGTCCGATCGAGGTCAGAATGAAGCATCTCGATCTCGGCGCTGGTAACATGGCCGGCTTGAGCCTCGGTGTTCGCGTCATCCGTCTTGCCCAGACGCTGGTTGACCTCGTAGCTCGCCTTGATTTCGGTGAGGAGACGTTCCTGGTTTTCCACCTTTTCTTCCAATGTCCTCTCCTTCGCAGCCCAATTGTCCTTCTTTTCGTCGAGAACGGCGACCCAAGAAGCTTCTACCTCCTTGACCCTGCTGTCAAGGGTGCTTTCAAGCTCCTTCTTTGCGGCCGACTCTGTCTGCAGCTTCGACTCGGTGTCCTCCAACTGCGTCGTCAGCTTGGCGACAGATTGTTGCAAGTGCTGGTTCTCCTCGGTTAGCTTCGGCAGGGTGTCCTCGGACACAAGCATCGATTCAACAGACGCCTCGAGCAGTGGGTATGGATCGGGAGCATCGGAGAGGGACGTGTATGCTTGAAGGAAAGCCGAGTTGATAGACTTTGAGTGATTCGTGAGGAGGTCGATGAAGGTTTGGTACGCTGGTTGGTTAGCGGGGGGAGAGAGGCTCTGGCCATAGGCAAACGACATACCTTTCAACAAGCCCTTGATCTCAACCAGCTTTGTAGAGTCGTCAAGCTTTCGAAATTCCTTCGTCTTCTGGGCCAATTCTTTACGTTGGACAGTCGAGTCCCTCTGATAGGTGACGATTTCCGAGGCGGTGTTATCAAGGTTCGATATAAGGTTCGTGTAGTCAATGGCTGGATCGGTCAGACTGCACAGTAAACAGCTATGTTTGAAGTTGTCTACTCACTTCTCCAGGCCGAGATGGCATGCTGGAACTTGTTACCGCCTTCCGGAAGATTTGGAGCGTCCAAGGGCTGCTCTGACTGCCGGGCGTTGCCCTTGGCAGCTAGGACGGCCTCAACGTCTGCCATGTTGATTCGGGTTTCTCGATCGCAGCTTGGAAAATTACTTCATCACTGGGCGTATGTAGATGGTGGAAACAAAGAGAGCGGCGGCAGAGGTGGAGAGTCGTTTCAATGTGTCGAAGTCGTTGGGTGCAGCTGGCGTCGTAAGGTACAGAGCGAAGGTGTTTCGGCTGAGCTCGCCGTTCGGGGAACGTGTTCCCTATCCGGGCAGCAACTTGATTGGCTGTGCATATCTATGTCGCGCGCGGTGCACAGGTAGCAATAGCTGATCGATTCCGCCCCTATGGAGCCACCCCAGTACACATGCCTGTGCCGGTAGGACGGCAACACGGCAGGTACGTTAGGCCGCTGCAGGAAGGTAATGGAGCATTTTAGCGTGATGTTCCATGTAATCCACCAACTGCTTACCTAGCTCTGAAGCTTCTCAGCCGCATCGTGTTTACGGTACTCCAACTCCACGTCGCAGTCCAGTTCCGCGCAAACGAGACGACGCCACAATACGCCCTACAATGGCACTGCGGCACTCATGATACTGCGATTGACTCAAAATGGCATCAGAGGATCCAGACAACCAGACCTCGTCTGTGCCTGGGAGAAACAATGCGATGGCAAATGACGGGCCCTTTGTCTTGCGTACGTTGCTGAACGAGGTGCCCTTGTCGGCAGATGGCGCTGCAGAGGGGATCAAGATCAACTGTGTCGACTATTTAGGTAATAGAAGCCTGGTTTTGTATCGAGCCGGTTACTGTGCTGACCGTCTCGTGGCTAGACCACAACCTTTACGTAGGCACGAGCGCATCCGAACTGCTTCACTTTGTCCAGATCCCTCCCGACCCAAACGATCTAGCTGGACAACCGTCCTTCATACTCGCCTCCCGGTTGCGACCAGCTTTTGCCGAGACTAGCAACTCCCGCCCCGGCATCCAGCAGATCCTTCTCCTTCCCAAGGTTGGGAAAGCCTGTGTCCTCTGCAACTGGACCGTCACATTTTACTCGCTTCCTGAATTCAGCCCGGTATTCGGGACTACCCAAGTCAAGAATTGCAACTGGGTTGGTGGTGTCGACTTGAACGACCCTCAAGATGACGCGGGCGACCCCTCTGCGGGGGTCTTCATTTGCTTATCTTTGATACGGAGGATTCAGGTTGTGAGGATAGGGGAGGTCGCACGAGCAGTCAAGGTACCCAAGGCTTCTGATCCGAGAGCTGTCATGAACTAACGGCAAGCTAGAATATCGATGTACCCGGTACCACAATATCAATTCGCCGGGATTCTATTGCATGTGTGGCAGACTCCAGGAGCTACTCTTTGCTCGACGTTGACAGACAGTTGAGGATTCCTCTGATGACCATCTCCTCACTCGATGACTCGCAACCAGCTGGAGAAATTGGCCAGGCTCAGGATATTGCCGGAAGCGCCGACGGTGGGATATTGCGGAGCGTCTCGGCAGCGCAAAACCGGCCGCTCCTGTCTGCCGGTGACCACCACGGCCATGCTAGAAGCACGAGTCTCGGAGGTCTGCTCACCGGCGGACGGATAGACCCCGGTCCTCGAGCAGCAGACGACCGCGCGAGCCAAGAATTCTCGCCCCCAATACTCTCTACCAGCCCTAGGCCTTCGGGCGAAAGATCTCAGTCCTCACTGACAGATAAGCCTCTGCCTGCTGCTCCAGGAGGTGGGCGGGCAGAGACCTTGCCGACGAAACCAACTCCGGTCTTCCTCAAGCCGCACATTGTTTCGCCAACCGCCGAAGAGTTCCTCCTTGTCACTGGTACAGGCCCATTGGATCCCGGCATTGGAATGTTTGTGAATCTCGACGGTGATCCCACGAGGCCAACTATCGAATTCGACAGGTACCCTAGGGAAGTCGTGGTTGATGGTGGATCATCCGACCTCTCAACGTCGAAGATGTCGCCAGAGGTAGACGAGGAGGGGTACGTTATTGCGTCCATGACACAAGACTCTAACACGGGATTGCGCCACGGGCTAGAAATACAAAGATGGGACGCCGACGACGGAGCGGAGCCAGAGACTTCCAAGTGGTGGCTCGAAGCAGACCCGTCTGGAGGACACGAAACGACGCCGCTTGGTATTCGCTCGCTAATGGGCACCGATGAAACCCATTTTGAAGAGATCGTTGACAGACTTTGCCAGAGAAAGTTTTCACCCTTTTCTGGAGGACTCCCTGAAAACCCCATATTCTCGCCAAAGAGTGCCGACTCGCGTACAGCGTCGTCATTGGAGCAGGTGATTAAAGAACGAGAGCTTTTTGAGCGCGACGTTGATTCACAGGACGAAGAGGCTCTACCCGAAGACTGGGAACAGAGCAGAAACACCGAGGAGGAACAGTTTGCACGACGGCTGGCAAATGCCAAGTCCAGGATAGCCGTGTGGGCGAGTGACCATATCTGGTGGGCGATTCGAAATCCCATGCTACTGCGGTTGGAAGCAAGGCTGGAAGCGGCGTGCGAGCAGAATGGCACTTTCAACCCTGCGAATCTGGACCGAACTGCAATTTTTACGGTGCTCAATTCATTCAGGGGACAGGATGCCAGGTCTGAATTAGAGTTCGTCACCTTCAGTTACCTGCGACAGCGTGCTGGGGTCCTGCTCCTTACCAACTTGTTGCATGCGGAAGAGACACCCTTTACAGACGCAGAGCTAAAGGCGTTGGAGGAGGTCCTTGTGGACAGCAGCCTAGATCCCCGCGTCGTCTTGTCATTGCTACCTGGTCTGCGGAATGAGATTGTCGAGAGCCGTAAAGGGATTTGGATCTTTGGCGGTGTCAAGAGAACAACTGAAGACTACCTGGAGAGCGAGCATTACAAAAATGCCAGTCACACAATAGGGAGTCTTGACAACAAGGTCATGCAGTTCCTGAGACGGTTCCTAACTGCATGGAGGAAGAAGAAAGGATTCGGCAGTGTGGCGGACGAAAGCGAGGTGTTTCGGACGGTCGATGCTGCGTTGTTGCTGGTCCTTCTTGAACTCGACCAGGACTCGCCCGTAGGACTGGCCAAAAAGAGCTCGTCGGTCAGATCAGAGCTGTACGACGTCGTTGACAAGGGGGTTGACTGTTTCGAACGAGCCGCTTCCCTTTTGGAATCTTACCGCCGTCTCTTTGTACTCAGCCGGTTGTATCAGAGCCGCAAGATGGCGGGCGACGTTCTCGCGACCTGGAGACGCATCATTGAGGGTGAGCCCGATCACGGCGGCGAGCTACGAGACGGCGAGCAACGAGTTCGGGAGTATCTGACGAAAATTAGCAGCCAAGCCCTTGTGCGGGAGTACGGCGTTTGGCTCGCGAGTCGTAACCCGAAGCTGGGCGTGCAGGTTTTTGCAGAAGACAAGGGCAAAGCGCCCCGGTTCGACCCGGCAGAAGTTGTGGGAATTCTGCGTGAAGAGGCACCCGAAGCCGTTAAGTACTACCTCGAACATTTAGTCTTCGGCAAGGGTCACTCAGGTTATGTCAATGAACTCGTTGCATACTACTTGGACATTGTTATTAGCGATCTCGAGTCGTCCCAGGAGAGCCGAGACGCGTTTGCCGGCACATATACATCATACAGAGCATTGCAGGCCCCTAAACCAACATATAGACAGTTCCTTACGGACAACGCTCCTGAAGACGACGAGGTCTGGCAGAGCCGCCTACGTCTACTGCAACTCCTTGGAGGCGGCCACCAATACGACGCTGCAGCAATCAGGGAGCGCATCGCAACACTGCCGGATGAGCTTCTTGTACCAGAGACCATCATTCTTGATGGTCGAGAGCGGCGTCACGAGGATGCTATCCGACTACTCGTTCACAAGCTGGGAGACTACGACACAGCTGTCTCGTATTGCCTACGCGGCGGCTCCAGCATCTACACGCGGCCTGACGGCAGACGGGAGAGCACGCCGACGCACGACATGCAGGCCCGGCTATTCCGGGCGGTTCTTGGTGAATTCCTCGCCATCGAAGATGTCAGCGATCAGATTGAGCAGACAGGCGCCCTGCTGGAGCGCTTTGGTAGTTGGTTCGACGTAGAGGATGTTCTCGCCCTCGTCCCCGACGAGTGGTCCGTCGACGTCGTTGCCGGATTCCTTATGACGGCGCTGCGCCGCATCACGCAAGAGCGGCACGAAACCACAGTCACCAAGGCACTCAGCTCGGCGGAGAACCTGCGGGTGAACCATGATTTGATCGTCAAGGTAGACGAAAAGGGCCCGTCGATCGAAGCCCCTAACTAGCAGACCCTGTCTGGGCCAGGGAACAGTGTTGATGTAGATAGCCCCCGAAGTGGATATGATGGTAGTAAGAACAGCACAATAATGATTATGTCTCCAAGCAGAAGTTTGTTGTTGCATTCGTCGGTGAGCATGCGCACTGGGCATTCACCTAGGACGCAAGGTGGGCGACGATGGTCATCCGTTCCCAAGTCTTGGGGGTGACCCGCTCGGATGCGGCTGGACTGGATGGACTTTTACCCTGCCCGGGGTAGCGGGTGGAGACAACGCCGTGGTGCGGCTGTTACAATGCTCCGGAACAGATGCCGTCGACAATGCAACAGAAGGTCTCCGGCATAAGAGACGTGTATAGCGGGCCTCGCCAACCCGGTTCCTTTCGTGCCTGTATTCCAAAGCCAGAGGAAAACAAAGAGCTAACTTGGCAGGCCACCCAATATGATGTCATATCACATGCTCGTGACGCGCATTTGCCTTGGGTAGGCCGTTACCACTTGTGCCCAAAAATCCTGGACTGCGGGTGGAGGCAACGTCGTGAGAACGACACAGGGGACGAGCTCGTATTGAAGATTGGGACTCGACTCGAAGGGAGCGTTGTCACAACAGCCAGGCCCTCATCGCCTCCCCCTTCGACTGCGGCTGTGAGTCACATGCTCATATACCCCAACACTTTTGAGGCATCAACCGTGCTGCTATTTTTATTTTATCAGAGATATCGGCGTCGAGAACGACGGCACTCGGCAGTAGCTGGCCGTTACGGCTGGTCTGACTTGCCAAGGGCGAAGGCGAAGAATGGGAAGAACGTGGAACCACGACGCCCCTTCCTCTGGGGCTGACACTTTCATTTCTGCAGAGCCGATCGTTGAGCAAGATAACGATGCGTGTTACAGTTGGCGGACGCACAATGTGGGATGGACATCAAAACCCAGCTACGATCTTGGAACTGCATGCATCCGAGGACTCAAGGAAAGAATGCGTTGAGCCGGCCACACTAGATGACCGCTTCAGTGAGACAAGACGGGGAATCGCTCATGAGATGAAGAGATCGGCGTGGAAGGAAAGAGAACGAATCGATAGAGAATCGGACGCTGGTTTTTTGGAAACCAGACCATCTGTCCTGTTGGGCAGAGTATCAGAAGCAAGGCGGTTTTCTTCATCTACCATCGAAGCTCCCCGCGACTCGTTGCGGCCCAAACACCCTTTGAAGCATGAGTTTCGCCGTCGATTTCTCATCAACCTGCATCCTCTCCCATTCTCGCGTTTTGACTACAGGCCGGGCTTCGCCCGCAGCATACTGGAGAACTCAAATATCTCTAGTCCGCCTCAAGCTACCAGCTTATAGCTAGGCTCGCAAATGAACACGACGGTCGAGGTCGATCCATGTTTTTAATAGCCTATGGCACGCCACATTCTCCCAGTAAGCCAATTAGGATGCGTAGCCAAGCTGAGGACGGCTGAATGGGTGAGAAACCCAATGCCCAGCTCAGCCGCACCGGTGGGCACGGCATTGCGCGGGCGCATGCCTGGGGAAGTTAGCTGCTGTGCGGGCGCTTGACCTCCATCTCCGCTTCAAGAGCGAGCAAAAGTTCATCCGGATAAACAAGCGCGAAGGCGAGCTGAAAGGCGTGCCCTTGACGTACGTGTCTTGGAATAGGGCTGCGGCCCAACAAGCGACGCAATCCACATCAGCTTGTGCCTGTCGTTTATAAGTGGATGCACATCCGTCGTCTCACGCTCACGCAGCAGCAGCACCACCATCACCAACACCACTGGCGGCAGCAATCTTGCGCTTCAGCACGGCGCAGACGAGCCATCTCTTCCGGATGGTCGGGTCCTCGAAGCCTCTGTCCCAGGCCCATTCCCTTTCCTGACCGTCACAGTCTCGTTCCCAAATCGTCTCGATTTCAAGCCCGGCCTCAGCCAGTGCCGCCTCCCCAAAGAAGTCGCGCATCTTGGGCCGACCTGTATGGAACCCGGCGACGACCCAGCACCTAGCTTCGCTATCATTGCGGAGAAACCAGTCAATCGACTTGTGCAAGTTCGTGTGCTGCCATGGCATCCACAGGCAGTCGGCGACGAAGACGCGGTCAAAAGCGTGCTTATTGGAGACTGAGAACGAGTCTTCGAGCTCACCCCACGAGTGGCCCTCGACCAGCACCTCACGAGCCTCTATGGCGTTCTTAGGGGAGACAGCCGGGTCGATGTTGCGCACAACGTTGGCGCGGAGGGTCTTGAGCACGGCGGGGGCTGGGTAGTCCGTCACAGCGACGCGGTCGGCGCCGAGGAGGGCGGACATGATGCTCGGCAAGGCCGTACCCGCACCCAACTCGAGGGTGGTTTTGCCACGAACGTCGAAGTGGCTTATGGGCGGGCCCAGAGAGGACGTGATGGCGTCATTGAGCTCCAAGGTGGCGGCCTCGACGAACTCGCCGAGCTGTAGGCTGGCGTTCCAGAGGTAGTGACTGAAGAGTTTGCGGTCGTCCTCGGCGCTGGGCTCAGCAAGTTCGAAGAGCAGGGGCTTGCGGAGATGCGGAGAAGCGTACTCGATACCGTGGTCAGCGTCGCCGTGCTGGTTCGTCACGTCGTCGGGGAAGATGACGCCGAGGGAGGTCATGAGGAAGTCTTCGGGGGACTCGGCGGGCGGGCCGACAAGGGAGATACGCGACGTGAGCGCCATGGTGACGGGCCCGGGGAGTCACGGAGGGACTGGTGTATGTGGAAAGGATGGGGGGTGGGCTGGTCGACCGAGACACCAGGGGGGGAGGAACGATACGGGACCAAACCGAAACGAGCGAGAGTAATCCCGACGACGACGATGACGACGATAACGCAGCGTTGAGTTCGCAATGGGGATGAAGATGGCGCAATGGGGGGAAAAAATGTTCGCGTTGTGTGTGGGCGTGGGTGTGTGAGAGAGGGGTCAGTCGGCATGGCGGGGTTGTCGGCCATTGACTGCCCCGCCGTCAACCATCGTGCACGGCGAAGCGCGGAAAACAACAACACCTGCATACGATCCGCTGACAACCCAGCACGGCCTGTATACCAGCAAGGAACAAACCAGAACAAAACAGATCAGAGCACGCGCGACGGGATCTGCGGTGACGATGGGCTGCCGAAACTGGAATTGCGTCGTAGCGGAAACTCGCAGCCGGTTGGGACGCAAATAGGTACCTGTCTGATCTTCTTCATCTAGATGAGATTTTCAGCCTCAACACGGCATGAAGACGAAGTTGGGCATTACCCCCGCAGCGAAGAAACATGAGGTAAGCAGCTTACACTCAGGGAACACGTCGCCTGGGAAAGAAAGTCGGCAGCGGGTTGTCCGGTATCCCGGGGGAGGCGGTGCAAACAGTGATTCCCAACCATGGCCGCTGCTGTACTATTATCGTACAGTACAGTACATGCTACAGGCGGTGTGTGCTCTCGAGTAAGGTTATGCTAAGCTTTCCGCCACAGGGAGCCCGCTAGCCTACTACGTACCTGTAGTAGGCATGCGAACCCCGCTACACCTCACTCAACTGGGCTCCCTCTCCTCTCCGTCATCATTCACTACCACTGGAAACGACCAACCCACATCGCACCAAAGAAAGTCGGTCTCACCGGACGGCCCACGTCGGTTTCGTGGCTGTGGCTGGCTGTGCTGCTTGCTTCCCCTCATGAACCCACCCTCCAACCCCCCTCCCCCCAAGCGATGCTGGCTTTCTTTGCATGCACGCTTATGCGTGGCTATTTTCGATTTTTGACCATTGAGTTGGGTCATCTTTACAGGCCTCCCGGTCCATCACAGGTCCCTTCCCCCCTCAGAGTACCACACCCACACTCAAACCACCGCAGGCACATACATGCCTGTACCACACAGGTACAGCCAGCCCACTCCCGCCAAACAAACAAATCTTGCACAATTTGCTAGATGGAGTCATCTTGCCCTTGTCTGCCAATTCCCCCGGTTTCTCGTGGCCGTTCTTAGAAAGCCGGAGGGCCCGTGGCAGAGCGGGTCAGTTGTTTCAGGTCAAGTGGTTGCCTGGGACCGATGGGGTGCACATCGTGATATATTCCAAGAATCACAACTCGCCCAAATCCGGACGCGTTACTGCGCCATCGGCACGTTCCAACCAGTGGTGCTTGCTACTACTATCAATGGCTTGTGTCACGCGCAAGTACTCTCAATGTCTCACAAAAGCAGAAAACGCGAGGGAGAGAGAGAAGAAGCATTTCGTATTGAACCAGCAAGCCGTCGGCCGTGGTTTAAGGGTATCAATCAGCACACCGTCCCCTAGTGCAAACACACGCATACATGAAGCTGTCCCATCCAGTCGTGAATATCAAGCCCAGATTCCACCTCGTAAACCACACACTCGGTGTATAATCCCAGTTTCTGCGCCTGCCATGCTCTCTGACAGGGAAGCTTTTCCCCGCTTCTTTTTCCTTCCGTGTAGACCAAAGTGATGCAAACACACAAACACAAACGCCCGCCATCAATTACCGAGATGCCTGGCAGCTCTCGAGCATCTCGTGCATCTGCCGAATCTGCTCTTCGGTGGGATCATCCGAGATCCATGGGCCCTTCTCTTCTTCTGTCGCGCCGAGGAAGCCCTCGGCCCGCTTCAACGTCTGCACGTCCAAGTCCGTCACGTAGTTGTTGCCGTCCGACAACTTGATGCGTACTTCGTGGTCCGTCGACAGCATCATGTCGTCTTTGGCCAGTCGCCGGGGGCCCTCAAACACTGCCATGACACGCTTCTTCATCGTCATCTGGCACTTGTCGAAGCCCCACGAAGACGGGTAGTCGCGACGGTTCTTGCGGCCCTTGACCCTGAGGGGGATCGGGCCGCCGCCCCGGGAGTGAGTGAGGCCGCGTGACTTCTGTACTCCGTTGACGGGGTTGCCCTTCCTCTTGGTCGGCGAGTTAGTGCGGAGGTTGCAGTCCTCCTCATCATCGTCCTCGGCCATGTCATCGTCGTCGTCCTCCTCAATCGATGGCATCTGCGTCTGCTTGGGGAGGTGGTTTTTCTCGAGCGTTTGATGCACCTCCTTGTCATTCTCCACCTCAGCCAGGCGCTTCGCGTTGATGGCTTCGGAGGGATCCTCCTGCTGCACGATGCGCAGCACGCAGTCGTCCAAATGCTCGTAAAAGTCCTGAGCGTTCGAGAAGGTTTGCGAGCAGGTCGAGCACTTGCCTGTGGCATCCGGAGGGTAGCCAGCAAGTTTCTTGCCGCTGCTGGCGCCTGTGCTCTTCTTGCGGCTGTTGGGCGGCGTCTGCTCGACGCCGTGGACGGCTGTCAGGTGGCGCTTGAAGACGTCGGCGCGGTTGAACGACTTCTCGGCCGCAGAGCCAGAGCCGGGGCAAAAGCCGCAGACCATGGTGCCCTTGTAGTGCGTCAGGGTATGGCGGTTCTTGTCATACTTGCGCGCGAAGCCCTTGACGTGGTAGTCACACGTCACGATGGGGCACTTTTCGGGGCGCTCGTTCTGATGAGTGAGCATATGCGCCTTGAGGTCTTTGAAGGTTTTGCCGCACTCGGGGTGGGGGCATCTCTGCTTCTCCTTGCCCTCGTCGCCGCTGTAGTTGTTGCCATCCGAGTAGTTGGAGGGGAACGAGTGCAGGCTGGGGCGGCGAGCATCCGCGGGTGTGGCGTAGGGGCTGAAGTGCTGAGGCTGCTGCTGCTGCTGCGGCTGCTGCTGGAAGCCGCTGTGAAGGAATGGCGATTGGCTGCCGTTGCGGACCATGGACTGCGATGAGGCGGAGAGCGCTGGCGATGTGGGATACTGGCTGGGGTTGTGGAAGGCGCTCATGGCCATGGGACGGCTAATGTCAGGGTGAATAAGGGAAGGGTCTGCAATGGCGGGGGTGGTTAGCGCACAACTCTTTGCGGAGGACGGTCGTGCTTGACAGAGGAAAACCAACAGGAAGAGCCAAGAGGAGCGATGAAATGACCGCTGCTCTGAGAAAAGAAAGTAGAAACACGCGAATTCTTTGGCGAGTTGCTCCAGGCAGGCGCCGGAGGAGAAGAGAGAGAAGAACTCGGAGAGACAAAAGACAGGCTGGATTTGCGCGAGGCGGGCGTGACGGGCGACGAGGACAGTCGAGCGTTCGGCGCCAAGCCCGGCTCGCGGACAGTAGGAAAAGAGCCAACAGACTGGCGAGGGGAAGGAGGAGAAGGTGGCTCGTGAGACGAGGCCGCAAAGGCGGATCTAGAGACGTTTGGCAACTCACCCACGAAACCCGGGGGCTTGATGTTCGCAAAATCAAAAGCTGCGAAGTCTTCCATACCTGGGCCGGCGTAGGTCGAGTACTCGGTACCGGTGGTGTTGTAGTAGTCGTGGGGCACGATGCCGGGGGTGAGGGCGATAGCGGGATGCGCCCATTCGTGGATGAGGGCCGGCTGTTCGTTGTGAGATTGCGGTGAGCCCACGTTGGAGGAGGCCGCCGAGGGAACGGAAGTGGTGGAGAGGTTGGATGAGGGCAATTGGAACTCGGCGTCCTCGTAGAGGCCAGGCGACGTGCGGCTTTGGTACATGAAGTTGTTGTCGTAGAGGGAGGGCGCGTCCATTGCCACTGAGGCTGGATACGTGTAAGAGGCGCCGGCAGGGATGCTCATCTCCAGGGGTGCTGAGCTGAAGACTCCCTGTGGTGGCTCAGGGTAGAGGACGTAGTCGTCATGCTCGGAACCCAGGTGCTTGGGGAGCATGGCATATGATTGATCTATCGAAACCATCTTGTGCACGAGAGAGAGAGAGAGAGAGAGAGAGAGAGAGAGAGAGAGAGGGAATGAGGAAATGAAGTTTGCTGGTGAGCTACGTTGCTGCCGATCAAATGCGAGGAGGCGGTTGTGGGTGATGTTATATGGTTGGATGCTTGCTTGACTGATATCGCGCTGTCCGAGCAAAGCCACAATCGCTGTACCTTATGCCGTCACTGCTTGATGGCTCTCGGTTAGTTCGTCTGTACTCGGGGTATTTTCAGGGCCCTCTGCAAGCAAGTAGACTGCTGCGCTGCTATGCTGCGCCTGCTTTCTTGTGGGGCTGGTGAGCGCACCTGCAGCAATGTTCATGCCCGCGGCCTTTCCGCGTGCTGTGTAAGATGCCGTAGCAGCGTCTTGCTTCTTGGAGGTTCAAGTCTTCTCGAAGCTAGCAAGGAGAGAGTACTGGCCGCGTTTAGGAGGAGTAGGAGGAGGAGTAGGAGGAGGAGGAGGAGGAGGAGGAGGAGGAGAAGGCCGAAGCAAAGACGGTGGAGTGTACAATGTCTATGTCCAAGCGTGAGAGAGGCAAGATGGTCGTCGTTGTCGTCTTTGGTGTCGATGGGACCAAATATCCGGGACTGATGATGATTGTAAAGACTGACGGGGGCGAGAAACAACCATCAAGTGCCTTGGGGCCTTCACGACTGATATAGATCCGGCCACGAGCCGCGCTGCTGTTGACAGAGACACCACGACTTGTAGACCGGGGGAGGGGGCACACATGGGTTCGACGGCCATGCCTTGCTGTTGCTGGAACTTGGGGACCCAAGAGGGCGTGGATCAACTTTCCCCTCCACATGGTAATGCCCCCCCCAAAGGAGGAGGGAAAGGGACCAGCGCCCAGCGGCCAGGGACGGAATTTGGGGGGGGGGGAGGCGTGGTTTTCTGCACTAGACACCTCCCCGTAGGGCAGAGAGCAACAAGCGGCACCATGACAGAGAGAGGCGGTACAGCAGGCTTGCAACAAGGGTCAGGGGGTGGGTGGAAGAGCGGAAAGGGGGCGTGGTGGAATGGTGGGTGTGGTGGATGTGGACGTGGGTGTGCGGTACCTACACTAACCATGACATACACTACCTAAATAGGTGCGGGTAACAATACAGGTAGGTAGGAAATAAAAGGTAGGGTGTTCGTATGGCCATGAGGCTTGCAGGTAGGTAGCTAGGTAGCTAGGTGTTAGATAGGTAGCCACGGCCTTTCGTGCCTTTGCTTCCCGTTAGGCACTCTCCTCCGCCTCCTCCCCCTCCCACTCTCCACTTCGCTCCCCTCTGCTCATCCATGGAGACCTCAATTAGCGCAAGATACGCACCAAAGTGATCTAGTCTCGCTTGACTTGGCCGGGGCTTGGCTTTGGGACACCCGCCGGGTACTAGAGCCACGAAACAGCCCCATCCCAGACTCTGCTTTCTGGCCCAGGAGCCTTTTGCGAGCCAGAGCGGAAGGGAAGGGGAGGGGTGCGGTATGGTGCAGTACGGCGTGGTGTCATGCTTGTTGTTTGTTGTCTCTGCCAGCGATGTGGGATACCAAGATCTATCCATCTCTGCCCTGGTCTCTCTCATTTCTATCCGCTGGGCTCTCCGGGCCCTCTGTCGTGGTGGTGTGCGACAGAGACAGACATTCATTAGCTCTGGGAGGAAAAACGAAGCCTGGGATCACCGAAATCATCACTGGCATCGTGCTGGAGAAGGAAACCAGAACATGAAAACTTTGATGAAGGGGCAGAAACAAAAACAAAACCCCCCCGAGAGAAAGGAGGCCATGGTCACTGTACCCGACACTTGATCCCTTCCGTCTCGCCGGTGGCCTCCCACCACGAGCCCAGTAATAATAGTTTAGAATGGCTACCAGAGCGAAGCCCCCTTGGACGAGTGCTGGGCAATGCCGCCTGTTCCTGGCAGCTTGGACCTTTTTGGTCACTTTCGACACAAAGAAGTACGGTGCAATACACTTGTGGTGCTTCTGGACGGCTCGCGAGCAGAGTTACATCCAGCCCCTTGTATCTGACTGGCAGAACCTTCCCGGGATCCGGTAGACGCGAGAGGTGTGACAGGGATCCCCCGAACAAGATAGACAGCGAATGTACTGTGGCATAGTTCACTATGCTGCGGTTTACGGGGGCGGGCAGGCGTGCTTCAGTTGAAAGTCTCCGTCGTTCAGCGAGCTTGTCGGGCAAGTGAAGGAGAAAATCACCAGTCCGTCCCCCCGTCAGTCAGGCGAGGTATTGATTGGCATGGCATTCTCTCCGCCCCTGCATACCGGATCGAACCTGTTTGCGCATTTCTCGGTACGATCGCCCCCCTCCCCCCGAGAGCGAAGACCAGAGGCTAGAGAGAGATGGAGAGAGAGACAGATACAGAGGGAGAGAGCTTGGGTCTGTCTACCTGCTGAGAGCCGGTCGCCGCGGCAGACACCATGTTGCCGGAACCAGTCTGCAAAACAAAACACTATAGGGCTAAAGCGTCCGTTTTCGCCGGATCCTGGCCTTACGTGCTCGTGTGCGTCTCCGCGGCTTGCCCTTCGACCATTTCAAGTCTTATTGGATCGACCAGCGAGCGGTATGCGGGTGATATTAGTCGACCGGTTGGCTCCTGTCCAGAGCCTGCCAACTGGCTTATGCAAAACTTACTTTTTCCCACACTCGCATCGGATCGCCTCGTAACCCTCAATTGGAAATTTCAGAGTGTGTGCAGGCGGGAGATGCCACGTCCTGCATATGCCGATGGCGTTAAAGCAACATGAGGGTCTCAAAAAAAAAGAAACCCCAAGGACATTGGACGGGAGGCACGACAGCCGTGCCATGCCATGCCACAACCCCCCTTCCTCTCTCCGACGACAATAGCACCACGTAAGGATCACAACAACCACTGTTAGCGTCAATATCTTGTCGGCGTGCATCAGAAGCGCCGCCTGCTTTGCACCGCTCGATGGCCTCGAAAAGGCATGGGCTCTCCGCGATATGGCTTCATCATGTGCAAGGCGGGAATATTGTGGAGGCGCCGGTTGTGCGGGCTGCGTCGAGACAATACACTACGCTAAGAAGTACCTAGTACGTACAGGTAGTGTGCTGCATTATCGTGCCTTGGGATATTTTTATTCATTGCCCACACTACTGCGATGCGACGGCAGGCTTGTGCTGTGCAAGGCGGCGCCTAGCCTTCTCTCTCTGTCGCCTGTCTGTCTGCCTGTCACCTCCTCCTCTCTCTCTCTCTCTCTCTCTCTCATCGCGATGCTTGCAATGATTCAGTCCAATCAGTGGAGGGCCATCCTCTCTTCACACTTGCAGCAGCAGGTGTGTGGCAGCACCATGGTGTGTGTGTGTGTGTGTGAGTGTGCACTGCCCGGCCTTATCCGTCCCTCTAGTTCAGAGCCTAACTAAGGCGGCTTGTCACGTCCTGCAGTGGAGTGGTGGATCACGTCGAGTGGTAGGCAGGAGATGCCTGGTGTATGGGTTGTATGTACCGGTGACGAGAACCCCCCCCCCCCCCCCCCATGAGACGGCGCCTCTGTCTCCTCAAGAGGTGAATGGCATCGCATACGGGGCCGGCGAGATCCTGCACATGACACTCTTTGTCGCGACCACTCACATTGCTAGCAGTCCCTGCTGTCCTGGCTTAGATGATGCATGTCGGCATCATATCCGCAGCATCCTGTCCCGAAAAGACAGCATGCCAGCTCAATCTCGTCAAGCCCACACCTCTGATGAGCAAGCGGGTTTGTATCGCGCATCTCCGACTGGCAGAGACACGGGGAGCTTCGCTTCGAGAACTGTCCGCAACAAGGCGCGGCCAAACATCGTGACTTAGTACTAGTAAGAACCACGGCAGCCTAGATAGAGTTTCACCAGTCGACTGCGACTGGGTCTATCTTTTGTCTGTGATGCCATGCCAATCCGGGCTGGCGGGTTACTTGCTTGGCTAAACCTAAGGGACCGGACGTTGGAAAGGCTCCAAAGACAGTCGGTCACGGCCATTGCACGCTAAAGGGAGGGGGGGGGCGGTACCATGGCACAACACCACGCGTATATCGTCCAGTTGAAGGCCAGAGCTCCATTTGGCCCATTTGAACCATCGTCTTGGTGCAACCGGCCCCTCGGGAAATGTATAGCAGCCGGTGGAGGGGGCCGTGTTCAATCAGTCTTTGGTGCTTTCTTCACTCTCATGCCACCAACCAATCTGCCGCAATGAGACACGATACTAGTCTCATTCTCTCCAAATACTCACGTTGCTGTTGCTGTTCTTCTGCACCCCTCACCTAGGAGAGGGGTGACATACCGCCGCCAGGCTGCTTCTGCGCTGGTTTCCGTGGCTTGTTGTTTTTGGCGCATCCTCGCGACCGCCTGCCCGGCGAAAATGACAGGTCGAATTTATCGACAACAAGGTGCGTTACGTTGGGGCAGTGGTCATGGAGAGTCGCAAAGCCAGCCCGGAGGAGCCTTACCATCCGCCTTCGTACCGAGCAAGGTAGTCTTGTCAGCGCGCAAGGTCGCGATACAGACCAAATCCATTTCACTAGTTTGCCTTGAGGTTACGGCCGTTGCTGCATTGGCCTACCTGCTCGTAACTGTTCGATGTGCAATCTCTCACGGGGCGCCAAGGCATGACGATGTTGCTGGGCCGTGGAGAGCGGCATTGTTGAAGGCATACCTGCTCCGCTCGCAAACTCGGTCGAATTGAGACGTACACGCATAGTGCTGTTTCGTTTGGCGAGGATTGATACGCCACTGACCAAAGCATTCCGCTCTGCCGGCCGGGGACACCCATGGGGACCTCGCAGAGTGGTCTCTGTCCCCCATCGAGACATGGAGCCAAAAGAAGGATAGCGATGGCTCGTCTGTCTAAGACAGCCAACGGCAACAGACGATTGGTTCTTTTACGGTACCCGCTATCCTTACCTTGGGGATAGTCAAAATCTTAAAAAAGAAATCCAGGAGGCGGTGCAACCCTGACCTGAGTTCACCAGCCTCGATGATTGAACCTTGCCAAGGATCTGCCACCCACACAGGCGTGTGTATGGTGTTCAGTGACTCGAGCTCCCACCAACGTTTGGTGCCCGTGCCACGTAGCGGTACCTATCACCTGGACAAGCAAGCTTGACACCATCCCGTCTTCTTGGGAACACGGATGCGCCCTACCGACACGACTTTCTTGTCCCTCGGGAACCCTGCAGTCATCAAACATGGAAAGCATGTCGATAATTGGGACGCAATATTGCATGGCCCGTCTTCAGAGGACAGGACGTCCGTCTGCCCCCGGGCTGTATCCGTGGCAGAGGCTTCGGCTTATCGCTGCAACCCACTAACGGCTATTAACTTCGGCAAACTGCTTACCTCAAGACACTACCATGACGTGCTTGGGTTCGTCCCGAGTATCTCAAACTAGATACACTATTCATCCAACCAAGCCAAAGTGAGCCAAAGTGAGCCAAAGTGAGCCCAAGCGGTGCCCGCCGAAAGTCAGCATTCTCACCCGAACCCGTGGCCTCTGTCCGATGTCCCACTTCTGCCGGCCCCCTTGGACTCACGTGCAAGCAATCCGTGAGTGAGACGACCTGGCCCAGAGTCCTACCAACATGGCAAAGCTTCCGGGTTCCTGGCTGTAGACCCGTTGCATGCGTTCGTTTGGTGGCATGTTGGGCTCAGGGTACCCTACCCGTAAGGAACCATACCAAGTACGGGAGCGATCTCATAGATGGAGTGTAACCAACCGGCCGGCGTGGGACGGAGAGACATACAGCGTGTATGCTGCTCCAGTGGCATTTATCTGCCTTGGGGAGGGTTCACGCCGTCTTGCATGGTGTCAAGTGGGCGCGAGTCCGCATCCAGAGACGGTAAGCATTCAGGGCGCTCAGCCCTATCGATTCGACAAAAGTTCCTACCAACGTTGCCTGTGCAAGCCTCTTGGGGTCCTCCCGAGAATCTGCGGCCGGTCACAAGGTAGATGCTAACCTGATGTTTCCACCCCTCTTCGTCATAGCCAGGGGCTCCGATGTGCAAGTCTGAGCGTCTTGAAAAGTTTGATGTCAGATATCGCCAAATAAGATTTGCACCCAAACGCAGGGAGAATGACATGTTCGAGAACAAGCCCCCGGCCGTTGTCTTGGGCATCTGACTGGCCCCGACCAGTACCACGTCTCTCGTGTGCAATTTTAGTGTCAGTCGCACTGGCTCAGCGTGTTGGCTGATTGCGGCCTCGCACACCCGCCGCTGATGCTTGCCATTGGCTACGAAGAGATGACGGATCTGTACAGAATAGGGGCAATATCTCCACGGTTGGACGTCCATAGGAAGACAGACAGACAGGTGGAGGTACGTGCATGGTAAGCGGGGAAGGCTGCGACTACCGAAGATGATGAGTGTCAATTTTTTTATTATTATTTTCTTGCTTATTTGGTCAAAGCTGGCGGGATAACCAAGGACCAAGGATGTATGTAGGGCGAATGACAGGCCGAGGTGGCGGTGGTTGTCAAGCAATGTGAACGGCAGTGATATCGATGCCTAGGAGAGAGCGTTGGTTTGCTGACGTTCCCGCGGAGTGATCTGATGCCATGATGAGGAGTTGCTGATGCAGGAATAATGTCTCGACCGAGGCGGCCGGCGGTATCCTAGGCACTGAAATTCAGGTTCACAGGCGACGCCATGGCATAACGGTAAAGGCTCACAAAAGAATGGGACGATCTCGATGACGCGGGATGAAACCCGTCTTGGCATCTTCAAAAAAGCGGCCCGTGGGGTCAATAGTGCGGTCGCCCGTTCGTTCCAATGTCGAGGTTCAACGATGGAAATTTTTGCGTAGATATCCGAATCGTCGGGTCAGTTGGAAAGTATTACTGTCTTGGGATGATCGTTTTTTTTCCTCTTCTGGATGTGCGCAAGATGCGAAAGCCCGTGCGAGGCAGGAGTAACTACCTACCTAGGTTCCTTGCGCACATCGTAGAGCGTGCAGACATGGTAATAATGCATAGTAATATGCCGCTGATGGCGTGTGGCTGATGGCACTAATCTGAGCATTGGGACGGGCTTGGGAGCATAGGGCTGAGCCTGCACGCAGTTGACAGTCACTAACTACTCTGTACATTACCTACCAGCATACCTACCTACCTACCTACCTAGCTAGGTACGTATGGCTTGGCTTTCTTCATACCTACTTACCTAGAGGTAGACAGACAGGTACCTATGACAGTCCCCCCCCCCCCCTCCCCCGTTTGCCCACACGCGGGACCCCCCCCCCTGCTTCTAACAAGGCAGCAGCTTCGCAAGAATATCCGTTTTTGTGAAGTGAGTATACTTTGAGCACCTAAGATGGTACTCGATGTGGGTAGTATACACCAAAAGGAGAATGAGTATGAGACCCGCTCTCTCCGTTAGTAGCGTACAGGGGTACTTTGTATGTTGGCCGGCCCTCGCCATCGGGTGTGTGTGTCGTCAATCCTCGACGCAGTCTCCCCTGATGTATCTGCTGGAGTGACCAAATCCATCATCCGAATGCTTGGGACGAAACGGGGGAAGAGCACTGAACACCCCATAACAGTAGCACACCACCTTGATACCCAGGTAGGTGGGTAGGTACAGTAGTGAGTAGGTACCCACCTTGCCTGCTGCTGCTGCTACGTGTGTGCTTGGGGCGGGAGGCACGGACTCATGTTTTCCTATTCGGGCAACCTGTGCGACACCTTCACCAGCGACCCACGACCCGCGCACCACGGCTAGGCCTGGTGGGGCCTGCACGTGTCCGCGGGAGAAGCAACGCACCGCGTCCCCCCCCCCTTCGGCCGTCATCTCTAGCAAACATGACAACACCGTCTGATTGGGTCTCTTTTGGTCCTTGTTTCTTATTGGCTGTTCAACGGCGACAGATTATTAGCTATGGTTGCTGGGATCGGCGTGACCGACCAGAGAAACGGCAGGCGGAAAGTACGGGGCTTCACGCAAAGACACACGTACGATTACGTATAGTGAGCCAGTGAGAGCTTAGGTAGTTTACTTGCTTGGGCTTTTGGTCTCCTCATGTCCCCTACTACTACTACTACTACTACTACTACTACCTCAGTGCCTACTTAGCACCCGGGTGACGAAAGAGAAGGTCGGTGGCCATGTGGTAGTGGTAAGGAAAAGCGGCCTTCTTTTTTTCTTTTCTTTTTGATCACCGGGGTGCTAGGTACTGTAGGTAGGTAGATAGATACGTACATGGTAGATACCTACCCACCCAGTGTGGGTACCTATCCATACTAGTAGGTAGGTAGGCACGCTGTGGAACGATGAGACGGAGCACCTGTACTGTAGATCTGCTACTACCCATCATTCCGTGTCCTATGGATTCGGGTTCGCATTCCTCATCTCCACCTTGGACGGACGGACTGACTCTCGACGATGCGATGCGACGCTTGAATGTCGACCGACAACGGCAGGCTGGCTCAAGTGCAACATGCCTCTTCTCCTGCCTGCCCGTCTTCTGTGCATGCGGCATTGCCCATCCTGACTGGCATTTCCAAATAATTAAACAAATAAATAAAAGTGCACCTGCCAGTACGCAGTTTCGGCAAAACTCCGAGGCATTCCATTCCATACTCGTCCTGGTCGTTGCACGTATTCCAAAATCTTCACCATGCGTTGCATTCCGAGCCTCTGAAGCAAGACTCCAAGATCCCTCAGTGGCTCGCTCGCTTTCCGATGGCATGGCTTGCTCGCATTCTTCGAACAGGGGCCACTCCCAAGACTCGGTCGCTACCGGGCAGGGTTGGCCGCATCGCTCTGGATTGTCGTATCTCGCAGCCGACAACGATTGTAGCCATGTCTCGCGACATTACCTTACCGCCGTCATGATCCACGCGCGGGTCATGCGGATGTCATGAACACGAGCGGAGTCGGACCTCCGATCTCCGACCCCATTCCCCCCAGTCCCTCGGGGTGGGTTAGCCTCGATTTCACAAGGCAGCAGCATTTGCACCGTGGTTGCTTTTGTGCGCCCAATAGACGAGATGCATCTTGTTTCTTCTGCCAGTGGCATGACTGCGGATGGCCCCTGTCTGCCTCCCTGCCTCCCTGTCTCCCTACCTGTAGGTAGTCCACAGTTACCCCATGCTCGCCAAGCATTGGGAGCCACTTCATAGATGGACGGGACGGATGGCAGGGCAGGGCTTTGGGCAGCAAATCGAGCGACCACGGATCCGTTTCTTCGGATTCCGCAGATCCCACCTGGGCAGGACCCCTGCCTTGGCGAATCGATGTAAAAACTGCGCTTGTGACGGAAAGGGCAATAGTAAACGAGAATAGCCAGGGCGCCAGTCCCGACACGGCTTGTAAGGGGGCCACACTGTCTCGGTCGGTGGGGAACTTGGGAGGCCAAGCGGACTGGGCGGGACAGGAGGCATATTGGCGGAATTGAAGACTTGGACCCAAAGACCACATCCCGAAACGGAACAGGCCTGGGCCAGGGCGATATCGGCTACGTCTAGACTGGTCTCTGCGGAATTAGGGTACAGGCGGTGCGACGCCGGTTGGTGGATTGTCTTTCGACTCTGGGTGTAGTGCATGGGGCAGGGACAACGGTTTCGCCCGTGCCGCAATGGCTTTCGACGGACCGGCGGCACCTACTTAGTATACCCAAGCTGCCAGACGTTTATTGACATGGTGCGCGAGAACCAGACTCTTGGGACGCCGGTTTGAGATTTTGATGAGGGAGGGGGGGCGTCGAGGGGCGCGCTTCGTTGGAGAACGCTTGCCGGCCCCTCCCTCGGATGAGAGACAGCGAAGCTGCCATCTGGTCACGAACGGCTTTCTTGTGCGAGCCATTCGATTGTCGGGACCAAACCCTGCAACGGCGGCGTTCGCCTCAAAGCTTCGCTCGAGGCACCAGGTGTCTGGGAATTCCCATACCTACGTTTGTCGCTAGGGTTCTTGCATCTCTGTCTTGCCGGAACACTGCAATGGGACGGACGTCCCGTCGCTGTAAGTTCGCGAATACACCCCCTCGGTCTCTCTCATGTCTTGCGGTCCTTGCAGACCAAGTACCCTGGCGCCTTGCCTTGGGTGAGAGGACGGGGTAAAAGAAAGACATAAACTAAGGTGCTAGTACAAGGCCTCTCTGCCCTCCCACAGGTAGAAGGAGAAAATACCTACAGTTGAAAAGAGAGGAGATAATTACCTAGGTAGCTAGGTACCTAGACACCTTAGTAGTGGATAGTAGGTTAGTACCCAGGTACCTAGGGTAGATAGGTACCTAGGTAGGTAAGGAAACCGCTAGGGGTGTGTGCACCACCGGTATGGTACAAGCGCGATGTATACGCATACTAGTATCCGTAGTGCAAAATTAGGGGAGAGACAGATGAGCAGGCGGGGGCCATGGCCTGTCGTCTGACTGTATGAGGTACAGTGCCCCCCACCCCTGTGAAAGAAACGTCCCCACGCGGGTCAAATCAAGGTTTCCATCCTTAGTCCCAAATGAGATAAACTCCGAACACACGCAGCCTTGGTACGGTAGCAGGAAACGGAGCCCAAGGCGCACATCCTCTGGCCTCTTCTGTGCTAGCCTCGAGAACATGAAGGAGGCCAGAGAAGGAGAACGCCTAGCCTACCGACCTACTGTGCAACACCTACATGGGCAAGGGCCGGCCGCACTTGATCTCCATTTCCGTCTTCGCAAAGGAGAAGCGCAGGGGGCCATGACCCGAACCATTGCGTGCCAGCCATAGCAGACGAACACCATGCGATACCCTGAAAGTCAGGCACCTTATGAGTGGCCAAGTTTCACTGGTGTGCGTCCCCTTTCAACCTTCGCTATCGTGCGTGCAATCGCAACCGTTCCCCCATCGCTCCACTCGCCAGAGGACACCCGCTCCTACATCCCGATGAGCTTATCATATCATCGTTCCATCAGATTCAGGGCAACCGGAACGACATGCAGGGGAGACCACATTCGGACCACTCGGAGAGCAGGCAGGCATTATCAGCCAAGGGAGGAAAAGAAGGAAGTACACTATGGCTTTGGCTCATGCCTCTGCGTCCGCTTGCACTCCCCAGACACATTTGTACACTTGATAGGTAGGTCATGGGAGATTTGCCTGCCTACTATGTATATGCAAGCCTTCCAGAACGGGTTTGGCGCATTGGTTGTGGATAGCTGAGCTTCAACACGTGTACAAATACATGGTACAGGGCAGCAGCAGCAGCAGCAGCAGCAACAGCATGGTGTAATGGCCCTTCTCTGCTCCACCTTGCATGCCCTTCCCCTGTCGGATTTTCCATATCCCTCTCTCTCCTCTGATGCGCGAGTGTCTGCCTGTCACTGATGAGGAATCATGGCTTCCCGTCCTGTAGATCCGATGCAACGTAAAAGGCGAATGTGTTTGAATATTGATCGACATATGCATTCATGCCCCCCAATCCCAGTCCTGTCTCTCTCTCTCACTCTCTCTCTCTCACTCTCTCACTCTCTCTCACTCTCTCTCTCTCTCTCACTCTCTCTCTCTCTCACTCTCTCTTCCTGCGACGGAGGAGCTTCCATGGGGTATCAACCCATACCCCCACCCACGCATCATCATCATCATCATCATCATCATGGGCATGGACATGGACATGGAGCACCAAGATGACAGGTAGGAAATCCCTTGAGCGTCATAATCGACTAGGAAGGCAGATCATGCTATACGTAGTACCTCGCTCTCTCCCTCCGGTCGTGTCTACCTCCCTGCGATGTCGATCTTGCGACCTCTCAGGGCCACCGAGCGAAATTGAGTGATCTTGACGGAGACCAGCATGACAGCTCGACAAAGTTGCGCCTTACATCGGGGCCTTGTAGTTTTTAGAGTCCCGCGCCTTGTCCGGCTGGACGTCGTTGGTCTTTCCCGGGCCGGGGTCTCTCATACTTCCGAGGGAAAGACTCATCGGCGTGTAAGTGGCGCGCTGGGGCCTCGACGCTGGAACATGGGATTAAGAGACAGCCATGTAAACTGAGAGTCGACAAAGAGCGCGCTGAACTTCGCCTATAACCCTCGCCACGTATTGCGGAAGGGAGGCTTCGTACGACGGGCCAGTCAAGGCTCGCCGAGAAAAATCGCCCACCTTCTACCTCGGCGCCCTCCATCATGCATTATTGTCCGGTTTAGCCGGTCGAGATGGGTCTGGCTGGCAAGAAGGGGGTCTCTCGTACCCTCTTGCATCACCCCAAAGTGGAACGCCGTCGCCGTCCCACACCGCTCCGGGTTCCGCGATGCTGGTGCAAACAATAAAAAGCTAACCGCTACGAAATTACGCCCGCCTGGCCGCCCTGGCGGCGGGTGATCAACCCGCGCGGAACCCTCCCCTCCTCCCCACTCTTTCTTCCCACTCTCTGTTGCTTGAGAAAATCCCAATGTGTGCTTTGGGCTGGGGCTGTTTTAAGAGTATGTGGTCGTTGCCATAATGCTGCAAAAGGGGGTGGGCTTGCTCCTGCAGCGACGACAACCCCCTTCTGCGTGGTGATATGCTTTAGTCGTAAGACAGTAGATAGCCCATAGGAACATCGGTCTCGAGCCAGATCCTCTCCTATCAACCAGGTGATGCCCTAGACGGCGGCCAGAAAGATGTTCACCATAATCACCCCCCCACCCCCCAAAGCAACCGTTTGAGCACCAACACAGCCCCATGTTGGCCCTAGGATCCGTTAGCCACGACACCCCTAGCCACTACCGAACGGCGTAATGATGTGTCTTCCCACCCAGCTGGTGAAGAAGAGGCTGCCATCGTCTTTGATGAATGAGGTGGTTGGTCAATTAGCATCATTGTGTGGCTGCGCTGATGCCAGGAGCCCTTAACAACCAACATCCTTCTAACGAACATCTAACCCGAAAGGCTGTCGATGGCTCGCAAGACAGGGCTTGGTTCCAAGGAGCGGCGTCGGCGCATATAATAGGCGAGGTGGTGGCTCCCTCGACCCAGATTCAGATCGATACTCTGGGTTGGTTGAATCACGACAAAACAAACGAAGGAAGGGTAGGTCAGGTGTTTGAACGCTGAACAGAGTGTGATCCTGGCGCAGATTGGCCGCGGTGGGGGGGCAGTAGTCTGATTGGGACCCTCTAGAGCGGCGAACCACCTCTCGGCTCACTGTCGTGAGAATCCTAGCCAGGAACTGCGTGTCCCAGCCCAGCCGAGCAGGGCTCTCCTTCCACACGGCAACCACTGGTTCGTGATACCGGGTCCACGTCGGCGGCACCTCGATCTACAAGACAAGCCATAGCACCATGGCGAGTTAACTGATGCAATGTAAATCCTTTGGTAAGCTCGATTATTTAGGCAAGAGAAGACAGCACTCCAATTCTTGGTACGACGGTCTAGAAGGCACTATGAAGCGTGCGCGTATGTGTCGCTGAGATCTTTGCCTCGCTCCTTGGTCCTTCCACTCGGACTGTGGCTTGGCGGAAGGAGAAGGTCGACAATGTCTTTGATATGCCACTCTCGGCGGGCTTTCTTTGTGAGGGAACACCTCTCCAACGCATTGTCGGGCTGTGGCGTCCCTTGGCCGCCACTCATCTCACCCCAACGAGAGAGATATCGAGGGGTATATCCAGATATTCGCGACATTTCTCGAAGGCAAGGATTAAGCTTTGGTAGCCCATCGACGGCAGATACGCCGCGGATTGCTAAAACAATGCTGTTCTCACTAGTGCCTAGCAGAATATGCGTATCCGTCGCCGTGCCAGATGGGCAAGCAAAATGTCACAATAACAGTGCGGTAATTTTCGGGGGGGGGGGGGTTGGTGGGTAGAAGAAAGAGGAAAGATAAAAAGAAAGAAGAAAACAGAGCACCCTTCCGACGCTGATACCCATATGCCAAAACCATACTCCCGGGTCCCAGTCAGTGTCCAATCTGGCGGGACCAGACATCCCAGTAAATGGCGTCGCGGTGTTGAGCCGGGTTGCTGCAAAGGGAACAGAGGTCAATAGTTTCGTGGCAAATACGGATACACCTGCACACAACGACCCTGGACCAAGGTCCAGACCCTCGAGCAGATGCAAGTCTGACTAGCCACTGGGGTGGCGTGGGCGTGCGAAGGTGCGCGTAGGCTGTGACGGTAGAAATAGGACGTGGCCCAAGTCGATGTAGAAGCTGCTTTTCACACCCCTTTTGTTAAAGGGGCTTACATGGCGTGTTTCTTCGCTTGCTTTTTTTATTTTATTTTTTTTGTTTTTGTGGTGGCGGGGGAAGGTTGGTTTGATATCAAGATGCATCTGTGCAACAGGCGGAGCTTGTCTGTGGGCAATGGCTCAACTCAACTTGGGCAAATATCATTCTAAATGAGAACTGGCACCGCGCCCATTTGACTGGGCTAGGCTTGGGTTGAGTCAGCCACCCTTGTTGGTCCCTTGCGCCTCGATAAAACAGAGAAGTGAAGGCAACCCAGAAGAAGAGAAACAAAATAACAAACGGGTCTCACAGACCAAAAGCCCCATGGACCCGACACGGCGGGTTTCGATCAGCGCCACGCCCGCCCCTCCGGCGACGCGATGGCCTAGACGACAAGGGGAGAAATGCCACATCAGGTGGATCAAGGTTTGCCGCCTCAAAGGGGCCTCAGATGCGCCCCAAACCACGTGTGATGAATTGCGCAGGGGACGTCTTGCATACGACAAGGAGAAAAGGCCATAATAAGGAAAAGTCTCGACCACGAACGTGGGTCACTAGTGTATTCGTAGATTAGTTTTATCTCAAGTATAGTCTTTGGCACAAGTGACCAAGCATGGATTCGGTAGGCGAGCCCTGTAACGCCTTCACGCTGGCGAGGACGGGTTTGGGCGGCGTGGTATGTATGGTCTTGCCCATGAAGACATCTCGAGGTGTGATTGTTGTGACCAACCTTGCGAGGCTCCACAGGGGCTGGGCTACGCACGGCGTACAAAGTATGCAGTCGTCGGCGCGAGAGAAGCCAAGGATGACAGTTGACAGACCCGGTAGTGTACATCTCGTTGACCGTGACGGATCCATGTCAATAGTTTCGTTCCCACGAACGCTCCACTGCCAAGGAAGGAAAACCAGGCGGAACCCAAAGGGGCGGAATAGGCAGCCAACTTGGTGGATACAAGCAAGGCATGCACGCATGGTAATGATGATCCGTCGTGGTCGTGGTCGTGGGGAGGGTGTGCATGACGGCGACAGCTCGCTTCGCCCGTCGATAAGCCAATTCGGGTGATTGTCTCGTACGGCAATCTTGCCCCAATAATCGATGACCATTTCATCCATTGTCAAGCGGGGAAGCGCGTGCATATCATGACTACATGGGTGATTCGCAGCAAACAGGATGTCGAGAAGACCCAAGAAGCTTTAAAGACACGGTCAGAGGGCGGGGTGGGAGGGATTGGGGTGACAAGGGTTTACTCTCGGACCAAGAGCATTCCGAAATTAAGATGATTCCTGCTGCTTGTGTAAACTACATTCCATCATCCATGGTATATTTACTGCGCTGGGGGCTGGACAAGATCGTGGACCTGCCTTTGGCTTTTGGCAATTGTCAATTGCCACACAACATCTGAATCGTTAAATGGCTGCCTTGTCAAGTCTCGCCACTCGGGTGGCTGGCTGCCAAGGAGATGTCATGAATGGTGGGAAATACGGTGGTATTTGATGCGGAAGCACGAGTGATGCACTGTTGCTGTTGCATCCGGACATCATTTCGTTGTTCTGTGAGCAACGTTGTCTGTCAGTCACACTCGTTGACCTCAAGTTCGGCACACTCTGGTGAGTTTTTCAGTCCCTCATTAGCAGGGTTTGGTTGTTCGTGGCTGCCCGCCATCCTGATCGAGCCGTCATTCTGTACAAAGTATTCCGTACGGACGGAGTGCTGCATGTAAACTATACATCTCCACGACGCGAAACCTCCTCGTGTGGCTCGGGAACCCGGCGCCAATCTCTGCGAGGTTGCACTTTATTGGACCGTGGCAGACCCGACTTGTCTTTTCCCCATGTTCGTATCGGTCATTTGGGCAAGCGTTTCGACACCAACTTTCGGGATCCGCCCTTCGAGGTTCTTGCGTACGCCCGAATGGCCCCATGCCTGCAGTTCACTTCCCTGTTCCATCGTACTACCGTCAATCATCCCGGGAACAAAGTATGGTTTCGACTCAGCGGCTTGGGTGCCATCGGATGTGGGCCAGTAAGCTTCGCCCTGCTTACTATGCTGGGCAGTCCGCTTTCCGCCCTCGTCTATTGCGGAAAGAATTCCTGTGAGGCGGAAACCCTTTCGCATGCGCGTTGAGCCTCATCTCCAGTATCGCGAGATATGCAAGCGACTTGACAAGGCATTCCTCGGCCATGTTTGTCTACGGACAAGAGACTTCGCTGCGCCAACCCCATCCAGCAGGCATGTCGTCCCCGAGCTGCCTCATCCCCGCAGCCTTGCAGATTTCAATGACAATGGCCCTGACGGCTCGTACCTCCTCGAGAGATGCCCCGCCATTGAGGGCGCCTCGGAGGTGTCCCTTCAATTGAGGGTTCACATCCTGCGGTATCAAGCCGGCGATGAGGACATACGACGTCTCCACGGGGGACAGAACTTTGGTGTTACTCAGAATGTAGCCATATATCAGACGGGCAGTCAAACCCAAGTCTTCCGTGCCACATCTGTCCATCTGACCCATTATGCGTCTTGATATCTTGCCGTATATTTTGTCCCAGAAGTCCTGGCCTCGCTGTAGCACATTATCTGAAGCTGTGTCATGTATGTCCGCGTATCGCGCAGTTGGTGAGGATGTCATGCAACTGTCCGATCCATGCGGCTCATCCAGGAGATGCTCAGGCGTGACCTTTTTGAGCTCCATCAAAGAGTTGATTGTCTATCCCGTGTCAGTCAGTATTCGCCAATAATGATGCATACTTAGGGGAGGAGGGGAGGAGGAGGGTACCTTCGGCAGTCCTCCAACCGCCGACGCTTTGATGAGCGCCTCCCGTAGCTTCCTCGATATAGTAAGTTGTTCATCTGAGCTTGGCTTGACATCTTCAGAACCAACTCCATGTCTCATAACATGCTGGTAGATCTGCGGTATCTCATCCGGTCGATTGATTATGGTCAACGTAGTAGCAGCAATAAAGTACCAAACATGCCTTGGCAAATGTGGCTGGCTCCGTATTGACGTTAGAAGCGCTGGAGTGATGATTGGTGGCAAGACTGATGCCATCATGGTCAGCAACGAAACGTTCTGTAATGTCAATGTACAGTTCACAAATATATGGCCAAGTTCAAATGTTTCCGTCTGCAGTACTGGAAAATTATCTCTCTGTTTCACCTAGAAAACAACTAGAAGGACCGTTCAAAATGCCTTCCCGCTTGGTTGTTTGTGTTCAACAGCGGTCGACGGACAAAAGGTTGTCACGGATCGGAGCTTCGGCAAAAGTCCGGCCAACAATAGATAAGGGTGCTAGGTACCAGAACCATCTCAGGGTTGGAGTCGGCCAGTAAAGTTCCGAGGTTCCGCCGTAATGAACCATCACGTGCTCTTTCTCTAACCTTGCCGCTCTGGGTCGTTGTAAACCGTGGCGTCACTGCTCAGGTAATCCACACACCACTGTTGACTAGATGCTTGTCATTAACGTGGCATCAACTACAAGCTCCGACGTGCCACGCCAACACTACGCATCCGGACTTTCTTTGGCCTGCATCAACAACATGGGCACTTGAGGGCATCCCTCACTCCACATCACCGTATCCCGTGTTATTAGCCCATCTAAACTCACGATGAGGCTCGCGTGGTACGCAGGGGTAGGTCTCGCTTCGGGAGCTATCGAGCAAGCTCCCATTCGCTCAGTTCCATGTCTGCCCGCTATGCCTCCTCCCCAGATTGCTGACTCTTAACGCAGGTTTCCACGGCCCTGGCGGCTTCGGTCGTCGTTTCGGCATTCCACCAACGAGCGAACTTTTATTCGGCCATGGTTTACCTCGCGCAGAGCAATTTCTGCTTACTGGTACGCTGCTCCGGCTCTGCTCCCGGTCCTGCCGGGAAATCAACTGACATGGAGTGTAGGTCTTGGTCAACTTCATTTATCTCATCTATGGCACCTTGATCTATGGCCTGCAACGGCTTCTGTATGGCCCGCTGCGACAAGTAGAGGTCGAGCAGCTCTCCGAAAAGGCGTGGTTCGCCATTACCGAAACATGCCTCGCGATGACGATATTCCGGGAGGAGATTGGCGCATGGTTCCTTGTCATGTTTACCGCTTTGGTGACAGGCAAGGTCTGGGGTTGGATTGGTGACGGTCGTGTCGAAGTACTAGAGCAACAACCTCCTGCGAATCCCGGTCTCTTCCACACTCGACTCAGTCTCTCGCTCCTCTTGAGCCTGGTCTACGATGTCTGGCTTCTTCGATACACGGTGACTACAGTCATCCAGCAAGCACGACCCAACATGATGGTCATGTTTCTCTTCGAGTTTGCTGTTTTGGCAACGTGCTCCGCGCGCACCGGAATCCGCTACATGGTGTCGGTCATGGAGCAGAACATTGTGAAGACGCAAACGAGACACCGATTGGAAGAGCGAAGAAGACAGGTTCGGGAGGAGCGTGAAGAGATCATCCGTCAGAGGGAACATGATGGTGGTGCAACGAGCGAGGACCAGCCTGACCTGCCCCGTGAGGAGGATATCGACGAGATGGACATCGAGGTTCCTGGCTGGGAGGCAAAGGGACAGTGGATCTTGATCCTTGACCTCATTGCTGGTAAGTGCAGCCCGCCATGTCCATATGCATTCTCTGACAGCATCTAGATTGCGTCAAGCTAGCCATATACTTGGTATTCTTTGGAATACTACTTACGTTCTATGGCCTGCCGATCCACATTATGCGGGACCTTTTCATGACAGCCAGATCTGTTATAAAGAGAGGGTCTGCGCTCTGGCGCTACCGTAAGGCCGTCGAAGACATGAACAAGTATCCCGATGCTACACAGGAAGAGCTGGCACGAGAGGATACTTGCATCATTTGCCGAGAGGAGATGAGGCCTTGGGACCCCAGCAATGGGGCGGTCGAGCGTATACGACCCAAAAAGCTGCCCTGTGGGCACATCTTGCACTTTGGCTGCCTCAAGAGCTGGCTCGAGCGCCAACAAGTCTGCCCTACCTGCCGCAGCCCTGTTGTTGTCAGCAACAATACCAATAACCAAAATAACAATGCTGCAGCGCCGCAAAACCGAGAAGCAATGTTCGCCCGGATCGGTCTCGGCGGGCCGGGAGGCGCTCCCCCAGCCCCGGGTGTCCAGCAACAGCCGGCTGATAACGCCGCTGGTGTTGCGCCTATGGTTCAACCGGCTCAGCAACCACCCCGCAACGGAGCGGCTCGTGTCTTTCAGCTGGGTCCCATCCGTCTCGGGTTTGCTCAGGGGGAGAATATGCAGCAACTGGCTCAGCAAATGGGCGTTCCTCCAGAGGCAATCCCTACGCCTCTTGCACAAGGAGCCCCTGCTGGCCCCTTTACGCCAGCTGTACAGACACCGGGCGGCAACAGCATGTCGGCAATTCGCCAGCAAATACTCCAGCTCGAGCACATGATTCAAAGGGAGGTTGTGTCGCTCCAGAGTATGCACCAAGAACTACAGACACTTCAGCTCCTTACGGCAGAGCTCGGCCGCATTCGTCAGTTGCAACAACAATCAGACCAAGCCCAAAACGTTCTAAATGGGGGACTGGCTCCAAATGCTGTCAACATGGGGCACAGTCAGCAAATCCCGCTTCCTGCGATGTCCTTGCCACAACTTCCAATTCACCCGGGATTACGGGTGAATGGTCCCGTTGTGACTAGACACGGAGCTGCAAACCACTCGAATGCGATTCCTGCCGGCAGCTCGGAGCTTCCCGAAGGCGTAGTCATTCCTCCCGGGTGGTCCCTCCTGCCCCTCCAGCGCATAGAGGGCGCCCCAGGATCCCAGCCATTTCCCGAGCCGACACCCTCTGTAACGGGCGAGAGCATACAGCTGGCAGAACCAACGGCTTCAGTTCCAAATGCGCCAGTCGTCAGTGCTACTCAGCATCAAGACAACAACTCGGCGCCTACAATTGACTTTCCGACTGATTCGACTGAGTCTAACCAACATCGGGGCAACGTTGATCTAGGTTCCGGCGTCACAACAGGTCAGGCCGAGGCCCCCCCTGTCCTCTCCCCGAATCCCGTATTGCCCAATTGGGGCGGAGCGAACCAGCTCTTTGGCAACGGACCGGGATTGTCTAGCTTGGGCAACACAGTGCCTTCGGAGGCGTCCGTTGACGAGACTCCCGGACAGGACGAAAGCGCCCATCGGAGTGCGGGGGATAAGTCACCAGCTGCTTCGGCTATCGTGGAGAGCACCGAGGAGGACAGTGGCAGTGGCAGTAGTAATAAGGGCAAGGCCAGAGCCGTCACTATCGAGGAAGCCGAGGACGATGAGTAAACGAGCACGGAGAGAAGGCATTACGCGGCGTTTAGGGCGGTCTTTTTTCCTTCCTTTTCATTCTCTTTGCTCGCAAGGTGTAAAAAAGCATACCACTTTCTTGTAGGATTATTAGCGATTAACTTTTGGACGCGCAAGACATGCCACATTGTCCGGATACCCATCTCCGCAGTGATAGATCGTGAACATGACCAACGAACCGAGCGCCAATGTCACCCGCTCAGCGAATTCCAGAGTCCCCAAAACAGTGGGCGGCAACTCGTGATAATTTGCCGTGCATTACCACACTCCTTATCTTTACACTCTGGTCGCCAATAATGTACAGTGAAAGTGCGTTGTCCCATCCCCATATGCCATTACTTTTCATCCCTCATATGCTTGAATATCGCTGCTGGGTAAATTAAATGTTAGGAATGCTCACGCTTCATGACCTCCTGTTACGTGTCCAACGCATCGCGCTGCTCGTTTGACAGCAATGCCGGCGTCTCTCTAAGCGATACCCCTTCGCCGCTCTCCCAAGAGGTGACAGAGCCTTGGTAGGCCGGCGGCGGGACGGCCGTGGTTGCTGACGATGTCCGGTCACCACTCAGACTACGCAGAGCACTTGTAGTCGCGCTGCCTTTTACCGGCTGCGGACTGAGCACCACCCCTCCAGATGACTGCGCGACATAAGTAGGTGAAATGACACCCTCCGAACCAAACGGCAGGGAACGTGTTGGGATCTCGCGACTCACACCCTCATGACCACCTTCGCCACCACCAAGCTTCTTCAGCAAAGCTTCTGACTGCTGTTTAGCCAGTTTTTGAAGCTGTGCTGAAGGGTCCTTGGAACGCCAAAGCACGTTAGTCAATTCGCAAAGACAATCTGCAGGAGTCCACCGAATTCCATGCACACATACCCAGTCCGACTGCGGCGGCACGCCATAGGCGACCGGCAGCTCCTCCTCGTTATCACCGTCGCCAGTCCCGGGGCCACCACCCCAGAACTTTGGTCGACGAATTGGTGCAGGAGTGACTGGAAGACTAGGTCGTTCGACAACACTTGGGAAGTCGGTGAGCTTGAGGCCGTGCTCCTTCGCCGCCTTCTCATCAGAAAGACCCACCGAACCTTGGCTCTTTCCCCGGCGATGCTTTTGAAGACCCTCGACGTAGCGCTCGATCTCGGGCACTTCGTCCCAGGCATTTGTGCGCGTGAAAGTGGTCCAAGGATCCGATGGGCTGACTTTGATGGTCGGGGTGGACGGGGTGCTGGGCTCGGCCTTTTGACCAGTCGTCGATGATCCTATGAGAGATGGCTCAGCAGGAGCCTGGGATATGGGCGATGCCGCTTGCTCACCAGTCGGCGTGCTCAAAGACTCCCCTGCTTCCGGCTCGGCCAGATCTGCGGTAAATATTCTGGTCGGTTTGGGTTGATTGACTTCCCAGGGGAAGAGAGGTCGAGGCTTCTGCGTTGGCTTTTGCTTCGGAACTTCATACCACATATTTCTTGGGGGGCTAGGATATCGTTCGGGGGGCACAAACGGAGCGGGGTCTTGAGACATCTCGTAGGTCTGCGAGGGGAAATTGAGCGCCTCGGGCCGCGAGTCTACTGGTGGTGGTTGTCTACGCCAAGTCAGAATCAAATCCAGATGAAAAAGAGGGCAGCACACAAACCTCTGAGCATCCCATGCTGGAGGAGGAGGAGGGCTTGGCTCTCGCGTCTGTTCCACGGGTGGCGGTGTTGGACCCCGCCCCTGAGGTGCTGAAATCTGCTCTGATCGAGCCTCAGCCTGCGTTCCAGCAAAACTACTAAACGACTCGCTGGGAGGGGGAAACGATTGGCCAGCCTGATACGCAATCTCAGGCTGGGATTTCTGATCACGGTCGCGGTATGGCAGTTCATTATGGTGATGCGGCTGGGAAGAATCGGGTCCATGGGCATTGTGGTGGGGAGAGCCATAATCCTCATGGGCCGAAGAGGGAGGTGGTGTCTGGTAGTGTGGGCTACCGCGATTGCGGGGGGTTTGCGTCCCGTAATGGTGCTCACCCGTTAATGCTGCTTGAGTAGCCTGCGACTGCGGCTGGAATTCTCCTTTAGTGAAGTACTGTACAATCTCAGGGATCTGCTGTTCCCGCTGCTGATGCTGCGAAGTCTCATCCTGATACTTCTGCTGTTGAATTGCAGGAGCAGAAGCTGTTTCCTGAACAAATGTAAGCATCCATTCTGCCATGGTAGCCTTGCAAAACTCACGGCAACTCTGTAGTGTCGGTCATAGACTGCCCACCATCTCCCAATCATGTCTTCAAACGGCGAGTCTCCTTTGCTTGCCTGTCGACCTTGAAACCAGGGTTTGTCAGGGCCAATGAAATGTACCATGTTGATACTCGACTGAAAGTGTCGATAGGCGGGTACGTATTGATAATGCGCCGAGGGTGTCACGTTGTATGTGAAGCTGATGCGGTTGTACGTGTTCTTGAAGTGCATATTAAGGAGACCCTGATCGGCGCCATCGAATGAGATACCTCTCTCGGCCATTGCTATGAGAGCATAGTAATCTCCCATGTTGGGAGTTAAAACCATGACACCCGTATTGAAAAGGTCCGGCCATCCGATATCAGGCGCGGCGGAAAAGGGAGCGGCGATGTCGAACAGCTCGTCAGGAGCTCTGTAGGCGACTACATCGGCGTCAATATAGACAATTTTGGAGAATTGAGTCTGCCTCCAAAGATTAACTTTGGTGAATGCCGAATGCAAGTCGGGCCGGTTCATCAGGTATAGGTTCGCGGGTCGAGCGTTGCGTATGCGCGGGACGGGGATGACATGATCGTAGACAGCCTAGGGCAGAAGAGAATGAGTTTGCAGTTCGGAAGACCACACAGGTCGCGTAGAGAAAAATCGTTGGGGGCATACCTTGAGTTCAGTGATGACCTCAGCCGAAACGGTATCGAGCGTGACCAGGACTACGAGCTGTTTGGAAGTGCCGGCATCGCGAAGAGAGTGAGCAAGAACCAATGCACCTGACCGCAAATGTGTTAATTAAGGGCTCGAAAGGGAATTGGAGACGCCGGACTAACCTGGTAGGTATGTGTCGTTCAACAAAAGCTGGGTGAAAGTGGCGGTTAGCTCTTTGTTTACTTTTCCCTGTCTCCCTCGCTATTCAAGTTTGCGATGTCAGTTTGGGAAGGACAAACCGTTGCATAGACTTGATCCTCTCCAGGAAGCGACGCCATCGTATATGTTAGGCGTTTCAAGATACAGAGCTCAAGAGCAGAATCGATGAGACAATGACAATGGGAAAATGTCAGCGAATGGCCATGGACGATATTATACAGGTTTGTTCAGTTGCGGTGCAGAACAAGAGCGGCACGACAAAAGTTGTTTGTATGTAGGGTGACGGACAGCGGATAGGTGTGGCGGGGATGGCGAGCCGTGCGTCCCAGGTCTAGGTCCCGTCCAGGTGACAGTCTGGTGCGGAGAGAGAGTGTGTGTGTGTAGGTGGGAGGAGTGCGAGAGGGAGGTGTGGAGTGGGCACACAACAAGGGTGGGCCAGGGTACCTTGTCGTACACAGGCAGCTGGCAAAAGGTAGCTGTGAATTGATGTGGTATCCTCCCGTACGTAGTATTCAGTCAACGCAGGTCCGACTTGAGGATGACTGCCGGGGAGCACAGGAAAAAGTTGGGAAATTGGAAAAGAACGTCACCAGGAATAGCCCAAGATCTCAGACGTGGGTGGATAGGAAGACACCGACGCAAATGTGTCTGTGGCTCGTAATCATACCATTAGCGGGAAACCGGTGTTGGTCGTGATGCCAGGGTTGTCATTTTAGTTTATTTTAGAGCTGGCGAAGTTGGAGGACGTACAGCTAGCTGCAAGGCGTTGGCAGACTACGGGTAGCCTAAGCAAGGTCATGCAAGCAAGCACCTTGCCCTCCTCGCGAAAACTACAAGTTGTTGGCAAGGAAGCCGATGATGCGCGACCAGGGACCCAGGTAGAGCGATACGGGCTCGGATAGGACAGAACGGATGGCGTAGTCGTTGGAAAGCAACACTAGCGAAGCTGTTGCAGCAAAGGAAATTGCGACTTGCAAGCGGGCGGCGATAGCTGGGCGATATGTTAGCGGTTGACGATGAAATGAGGTTATGGATCTTTGGAGAAATAGTAAAACAAAACCTCTTTTCTCTCATCCGTCAAACCCCGAAGGTGCTAGGTCAGGGAGCAGATCAGGACTTTTCCTTTCTTCTTCCGATGACGAAAAGAAGAAAAAGAAAGATGGATGGAAACGAAAGCTAGGATGACGTTTCGCGGTCTGACGTTGCGAGGGAGGTGAACTTTGAGTGCGCTCTTCCCAGTGGGGGCCCTTGCGCCTTCGTGTTTGGAAGCCCTACCTGGCAGGTTTGTACTCGGAGCCGGAGCTCTAGACAGAGGCACAATAAGGTACCTTTCGAGTGGGTAGGTGCCTACCTAGGTGAGGTACTTAGGTACGTTATCAAGGCGGTCCCTCCTAGGGTAGGTAGGACCCTTTAAACTGTGAACCGGCTCACCGTCATTGCCTAGCGAGTACGGGTACTTGCAATGTAATGTCAAGATTCTATAATATACAAAATCATCTCTTGGTTCTGATCCACCTCGCAACGACACACAATGAGCTTCAGCAACCCCTTCTTAGTTATTTGTTGAGCCTCGACTGCGATGACTGAGGTTAATCGCCTCCCCCCTACTTCATTCCCTAGCTTGATGGGATTCCAGACACTCAGGCGATGGCAGGCGTGCTGAACGGCCACACGCGACTCAGATGTATTAGGAGCCATTCTTCTCGCTGTGTGGAACGCTTTCCACACCCACTCCTGGCATGTCCCACAATGTGCTACCTTTGACTGCCTCCGTGCCTCGCGCCCTCTATTTCTGTGATGTAAAGCACATAATCTTAACTTCGTCATATCTCTTGCTGGTTTGTCACGGCCAAAGGATGGAAGATGGGCAATGGCACCATAGAAATCCTCGGGCTCATTGAGAACAATGGCTATTCTTCAACACAGTTCGTGATGTATCCGGATATTAGCGTTATAGGTACCTCCTAGTAATGCAAGCAAGGTATGGCGTTCAAGCACGGGCGTGTCCTCCCTTGTTAAAGTACCTAGATGAGAAATACATCCTTAAAATTAGGCCAGATTCACGACCGCGTGGGCGGCACGCGTTGTCATCGTAGTCGAAGAAGAAAAGAAAATTGGCAACTAGGAAACCTCGACTTTAATGATGCGTCTCACTTGCAGTCCTGCACTTGCTTTTTCGGGGTTTGTTCTATTTTCCAAGCTCAAATTGACCCTGCACACTATAGCAATTTGTTGGCTTCTCCAAGGGCATCGAACGATATGTTCTGACACCCAATTTCCTTCCATGACTGCCGTGCCCTCAACATGCTGTGTTACCTTGAAACTCACCATGCAGTACCGTACACTTTCACGTCTCCTCACCACCTTACCTACAGGTAGGTAATCATCCCGCCATGCATGATCGTCCAATGTATATACTGCTTATCCCTACCACGACACCCTCAAAGGGTAACTGCGGTCCAGTTGTACAAATACATAGCCATCTCTAGCCGCCGGAGCCATCCTTGATTGAAACATGGACAGGTAGGAAGGCGGGCGGAGCGGGGCCACCACCTTTCCCTTGGCCGTTTCCTTCCTACAATCGACACTGCGGATTTCCGATGCGCTTGAAGGAAGCAACGGCCAACTCAAACCCCACCTTCTTTTGCCCTCACCCCTCTTCTTTGGAGCCCTCGAAACTTTGTCCATTGAGAGAGAGAGAGAGAGAGAGAGAGAGAGAGAGAAAGCGACGACACATTTTGCCGGAGCTCCCCCGCATCTGCTGCACCTTTGCATTGGAAATCGTCATTCAAAGGCAAAGAGAAAGAATAACGTGAAGCCAAACAACACCCTCCCCTGCCATGGTAATGATCATCATCGTTTGTATCTGGCTAGCCGTGGCGCCTGGGCCATTGCTTGCCCTTGGTGGTAAACTCTCCCTTCCATGACCGAGGCGTGTACAGAAAGGATATCCTTCTCTTACTCAATATACTGTACTAGGAGAACAGGATGAGGGTGCCCCGGTCCCTTCCAGAGACCCTGAGCCGAGCTGGACGCGGGCACTGGGGTTTTCTCTCGGCGTTCAACCCTCTCTTCCTCCATCTCTCACCAATCCCATGGTCCCCGACCGCATACGCCCGTCCAGACCTTTTCGCTTTTCGTGTCACCTTCCTGCAGCATTGCGAGTAACGCAATTGAACTGGCGTGTCTAAACTGCAAGCAGTCAGCTGCATTACGTCAGCCTGCAATGGATATCCATGCGTTGGGCCGCCGCTCTGCTCCAAAGGAGGTTGTCTACCCCGCTAATCAAGGCCGATCAGCTTACCAACCAGAACTACAGACACTGCTCACGACTGTAAGTCATGAGGCCTTTCCATCCCTCAAACCAATCTGCTCCCATGGCCGTCTTCCATCATATGCCTCGGTTCCTCAATTCTCGTCCTCGCCGCTTGCGCCCCCCAATGTATGTTCCGTTTTTGGATGCGGCCCTCAACCGCCGTCACCTGTTGGATGGAACCCTGCGATATCATGAGTAGCAGTATGCTTCAAACTGGGTCACGAGTGTGGATCGTCCGGGGAAAGTGCACTCTATAACGATGCATCTTACGTCATCTAGACTGATGGAGCATCGAAAAAGAACGACGCAAGCCAAGCGGGTGCCCAGAAGCGCAGAGACATCTTACAGACCAGCTCTTGATCGTATCGTACGGAACCCAGCAACGCGAGTGGATGGATTTTCTGCCATCGTATTAAGGGTCCACCCAGTACGACAGGCACATCGGCAGACCAGTCTGCCAGTAACCTATCGTCTCTACTGCAGCTTACTTGACCGTAGAGCAGCGTGCTAAAGTCCGACATCTACTTTCTGCACAGCCTTCTCTTGTCCCCGGAAAAGCCAAGTCTGGACCTTTATTTCAAAAGACGGGCGCTGACTGCGTTCTCTTTCCATAGTCGTCGCGGCTGCCCGCATCGGAACTAGACTCGCATCACGTAAATTTTCTCAGTCTTCCTTATGAGCTTCGTCTAGACATATACGAGCTACTGCTCCTGGCCCCGGACCCTATCGTCGTGTCCAACCGCAGACGTCAACTTTACGTGAGGGTCGAGCCACCCGAACACCAGATCGCCTATCTGCGTGCCCCTCGACCGAGGCCCCGTGTAGTGACGCTCGCGTGCAGAAACCCCCACGTCGAAATCTTGCGGACATGCAAGCAGATAAACCATGAAGCTACTCCCGTCCTTTACCGCAAAAATAGGTTCATCGCCGGCCTGCAACTGAGGAGAAAGACGGAGGCTAGGGCCGAACTCACAGACCTGGCTGGCTTCTTTCTTTACTCGTTGCGCCCTTCAACATTGCTCCAGCTTTCCGCCATCAACTTCCGAGGTGCCTGCCATTGCAACCAATGGCTTGCCTTGTCAGCCGGAGCTGGGTATGCTACTACCGGCTACGAGCTGAGTAGCACGTGTCCTGGTGGTTGGGACTACCTCTCAAAGGCGTGCTTGGTGATCAGCAATGCCCTGTCGAGTTTTAACAAAGGTAGGACACCTATTCCCTTGCCCTCCAAGTCCTTGTGCTAAGACCTGTTGGACTTAGATTCCGGGAGGCTCAGGTTTTGTGCCTTTTGCAACGCCAGCCACGGCCAGCACTTTATTATCTGATAGTAACAGTGGACCAGAGCCCGCTGAAACTGTTTTTCATGCCTTGCTGGCGGTCACTCGTAAAAGAAAGTGGCAGCGTAAGGACGGACTCAATATCAGTGCAGACATCGTCGGCCAGCTCTTACCCTGATCCATGAAGGGAATATAATTATGTACTTGTAATTCATAATCGTTACTACAACTAACACGGTCCTCTTTCGGCTATCCAAGCTTCCTTGCACGATCATTCGTGTGTTCTTTGTGCCGTCCATTCGATAAGACCTAGTTTATTCTGTTCGCGTCTAAAGTGCTTTATGATCGACGGTAGCATTTCTCGCTCAAGCTTTTATCACGGTCCACGCCCAAGAGCTGTCTCCTACAAATCTTTCTTGAAAGCGTGCTCCGGCTTGTGGGTAGTCTCGTAGTCGATATGTACGTAGGCCCGTTCCACGTCCGGAAGACTCTCCAGTTTAATCTGCAACGCCTCGGCCACGTCGTGCGTCTCGGTAAGAGTGTTCTCAGGGTTCATGACTATGTCCACCTCGGCGATGAGCCGGGGCCCGGAATGGTAGACGCGCACCGTGTCAATGCCATGAATGGCGGGGGAATGCGTCAGGCAGACATAGGTGATGAGCTGCTGCGTTTCAACCGAGGCAGTGACGCCGACGAGCAGCATAAACTCTGCAATGGCAGTTCGCAACCAGATTCCTGATACGACGAGCGATAGGACAACGGCGCCCGTTGGGTCGATATACCATTTGAGCTTGGAACCCCCGACGGACGTGAGGATGCCGAAACCGTTGACCATCAGGTCGTTACGGTGGTCAGACCAGAGGATGCGGACCTGAGAGTAGCGGTTTCTCAAGGAAAAGCAGTAGAGAAACAGGATAAATTTGGTCGCGAAAGCGACGCAAACAGCGACAATGGGCTCAATGCGGAACGGCTTCGTCTCTTCTGTCGTGGGTCGGCCCGCCAGCTCGCGCGCGGCGAAGGCGATAATGATGAGTGAGACCGAGATCATGAGGAAGCAGAAGACGATGTTGCCAACGGTCTCGAGGCGTGCCTTGCCCGCGGGAAATTGGCGCGGGTTGACACGCCTAATGGCGCGGCTGGCGAGAATGAGCGTCAGGTTGCTCAGGGGGTCGAAGATGGCGTCGGCCATAGTGGTGATGAGAGAGAGTGATCCCGTGCTGATGGCGGCGTAGAGCTGCAGAGCGGTGAGAGCGACATTGGCGGCGAAAGAGCCCCACACGGCGATGCGGAATTGGAGTTGGTCCTCGCCGGCCTCCTGGCGGGCCTCGGCGACGTGCTCGTCGACAGATTTGAGCATGCGCTGGATGGCGGCGTTTTGGGTTTCGTAAAATTGCCGGACCTTGTGGCTCTGGCGCCAAGGGCTGGCGCGGCCGCGGCCGCTACTGCCAGTCGGGTCCCTCTTGCGCGAAGTATTAGCTTTGATCTGGGCGAGATCCTCGGGGGTCTTGAAGGCAGAGGAGAGGCCATAAGGGTCCGAATCAGAGCGCAGGCCGGGCTGTCCCTCGACGTCGGTAATGGCGGTGGAATGTCGAGAGGCAGCTTCATACTTCTCAGGCTGGGAGGAGACGGGAGGAGGCGATGCAGTCTCGAGGGCCGTACTAGAAGCAATGACGGCAGCGTCATCGCTAGCGAGGGACATGGAGCCTCGGCGAGACGAGTTGGCGAGGTGAGACGGTGTGTGCAGGCGGAAGGGGTGCGGGTGCATCGTAATGCTCTTGGAAAGGTCGGGTTCCATGCCAGGCGGGATACCAGAAGGCTATGAAGAGAGATACAAGTGAAGGATGTCGTTGGCCAACTTGGATAGGTGTTGCCCACGTCGGCCTGACGAGTTGAGAAGTACCGTACTAGGAAGACAGGCTACGGGATGGAAGAAAAAACGCGAGGTTCGCGGGCATCGGAGGGAGTTATGTCGGGCGGACATGTCGGTTTGGCGCTTATTCTCCAAGGAAGAGCTATGGAACCTCATCCTGCAGGGTTGCTATGGCCAGCAAGCAAATAACGCGCGCAACTGCCACTCTCAGTCCAGTTTGGCCGGTTGGAGCAAAGATGAACGGACGGCAATCGGCAAGAAAGGCTTCTTTTCTCGGGGCAGGATCGGTTTGAATGTGAGGTGCGTAGGATTGTCTCCTCCGTCTGCTTCTCTGTTGACGCGTCTGACTTATCTTCGTCAAGTCCTGATTAGTTCAGCCTAAATGCCCACAAACTGGAGGTTAGCAGCATGAAGCGCAGGTCGCAAATCGCGCAGAGAGTGTGAGCCAATCACTTGCCCACGGGGGAGGGTTGCATGGACGGCGGATTGCGGCTAGATGTGAGAACAGAGTCAAGCAGCTCATCGTTCGCCTCACAAAGCTTGTGTCTTTGTGTGCGAAAGATCGGCCATGTGTACGGCGTTATGCTCCTGGGTTGAGAGTCGTTGAGCTTCTGGGCGGAACATGCGGAAGGACTCTTTCACAACGGCAACTCCACGATAGACGTGAGGCGGGCGGGCAATATGATATTCGAAAGCAATATCGGTCAAGGTTGAGAGAGTTCATACACTAGCTCGAGCATCTGGAGTGCCTAGACTGAGAAGAGGTCAAGCCCAATTGTCAAGTCTTGCGACTCATATGAGTGCAACGACGGCATGTGCGAGCAGGTATGCTACTGGGCAGCTCAAACCGTTGGTGACTGACATTGCGAGCCGGCACCTCCATGTCCTCTGAGAGCTGACAGTGCAGTGCCAGCGAGACGGCGGTTCTTGACGGCTTCGTCAGGATGCACAGGTGACGGTAGTGAAGAAAACACTCGGGGGGTTATGCTGATGCTGGTGTCATCTGGGGCAGTCGAGGTCGTTCATCATCCCAAATAGCAGGTCGAAGATGCTCCACAGCGGTGGAGATTGAGTACCTACCTGCCTACCTCTGGTACCTGAAAGGTTGGTAGGTAGGTAGGTAGGTAGGTAGGTACCTTGGCAGGTTAGTAGATGGTTAGGTAGGTACGTATACCTAGGTAGCTGTGCCAATTCCTGCACTTCTGGGATGCGGTGAGGATGAGGGCCGATCCGCGCGGGCAACAGCAACGAAGGTGTGTAGGTAGTTGGGAAAAAATGCCGCGGGTTGCGGTTGTACTTTATATTATGAGACGAAACGTCGTCTAGTTAGGGCAGCGACTAAGACTGGCGGGAAGGCAAACCCGTTCTCGTCCATGCTTCCCCGTCGCGCTTCGGGCATGACCGGAACCCTACAACCCCCACCCGTCTAGGGAAGGCATTAACCGGTTGGTCTCCTCCATCGTCCGCCTGGGTCCTCGGCCGAAAGCACGCCATCCACGATGGCTGGACTGCTTGTTTATCCTGCTAAGGCTTTCTCTGTCGGGCTTGAAGGGCGCTTGCGGTCATCTTTGGGAAGAATCGGGAGTGTAGAATCGATAGGAGACAATCAATAAGCATGGACCCCGTGACATCAATCACCATAGGCATGCGACAAAACAGATCGTCATCACAAGTCAAAGTACAAGACCCTAGATCAAAGACAATCCAGCCTCGTCCAGCCTCCTACAACTTGGCCTCCGGCCTTGCCGCAGTCTCTCCCTCAGCCCTCTCCAAGATCCAGTCCCCGACATCTTTGAAGAACTCATCCTTACAAAAGTCCGCGTGCAGTTGATGGTACGCCCCCTCGTAGGGCTTGTGCGTGCTGTCCTCGATGCTCTGTGCGCCGAGCCATTTCTTGCTGGCGTGAAAGCATGTCGTCTTGTCCTCGGTGCCGTGGCCGAGCCACAGGCTCCTGACCTCCGGGCTGAGCCGCAGCTTACCGTTGGCCAGCGAGTCCGTCCTCTCTAGCATTCCCGCGAGCCCTTCTAGCGTACCCGTGTTGTGCATCATGTCGTCGTCGCGGATGCTCTGCTGCACCGCCGGATCGCGCGTGAGTTTATCGGCAGGAATTTCGTTGACGAGCTGCTGGTGTGGCAACACGCGGCTCGCCAATTTGCCAAAGAATACCTTCAGAAAGCTCGGCTCCTCGCCAGGTGTAAAGGCGATGAAGGGGCTCTCCAGAAGCCACCCGCGCACTTGAGCGACAAGGTCGTTGTACTGCGGGTCGCTTGCCAGCGCAAGAACCTCGCCGCCACCCATAGAGTGGCCCATGACGAACAAGGGCACTTTCGCGGCCGCCAAGGACGAAGATGAGAGCTTGTCACGGATGAAGGCAGCCACGTCAGCGAGCACACGCGACGTCGGGCCCGTAAGGCCCCTATCGGCAGGCTTCGCGGCGCTGCGGCCCCATCCACGTTGGTCCCAGCTAAAGACCTGGATGCCGCGACCTGCGAGGTAAGGGAAAAGCTCGTAGTAACGGCCGACGTGATCGCTGAAGCCATGGACAAAGATGAGTTTAGCCCTGATGGTGCCTTGGGGCTGCGATGCAGGGTTAGCGAATGTAAACTGGTTTCAAGAGCGGACGAGCTGGGAGTGTATGTGCGTGTGTGCATCTTACCGTCCAGGTCGTGCTGTGCAGCTTGTGACCGTCCACCTCAAATACGCTCTGAACTTCAGTCGCCATGAAGATAATGATAATGATGATGAGTAATGAGGAGCGCTGTGGCAAGGAAGACAAATTCGAGATTTTCTGGCGTTACGGAGCAGACTCGACAACCAAGCCTGACAAGGTGTAAAAGCTGATGTAGTAAGATATATCTTGTTGTTTTCCTTTCACGTGTTACTGCAGCTGTCTGATTCAAGACATTTGGTTAATGGTGGCGCTTATGTAGCAGTGTGGCACTGACAAAGAACTCCGCTTGCAGACAGGGGAAGCTTGGACCTTGAGAGCAGAGCCAGCCGGGCGCTCCAACTTTCTCCAAGTCTTTCATCCGCTTTGGGCTTGGCAAGGAAATCGAGAAGCGTAAGACGGCCCAGCGCTTTGCTCATCCGTGGTTTGCGCTGACGCAGAATTGCTACAACCTGCTAGGCCAGTCTTTTCGGGCGCGTATTTGTGTTCGTGCTTGCCGGAAGGGGGAGGAATGACACTGGGATGCCCACAGATTACCAAGTCACGCCAACAATCCGCATCAAATCTTGTGCCTCGCGGGCGGCCGTACCTCTCGTAACTTTAAATCTCGATTTTTTATCTGAAGACCCTAAAGTGTCCATCCAGACCGAGCGGAGTTGATTCTATCAGATGAGTCGCGCGTAAATGCTATGAAAGTACACAAGATGCCAGCGCTCAGTTGCACCGCAGTTACACGGGACTTGCCGCGGCTGCTCAACCGCATGTGGGCGGCATCTAACATTAGAACATAAGGAAAGAAATACATCGAGGGGCCGCGCTTGGTGTGTGTACCTCTTCGTCTGCAAGATCCAAAGGAACACGGATCGATCACCGCCGCGGTGCCTGCTCCTTGGCTTCCTCGTGTGACTGAATCCCAGCATCCTCCTCAGGATCCTCTCGCTCAAGGTCGGACTCGATCTCTTCCGACTCTGTAATATGACCTCTGTCGCCGGGCCGAGAATCGGGAACCTCACCACCGCTCATCTGCCACTCCATGAGCTTGCTGAACGCACTATTCGGATCAGCCGACAGATCTATATACTTGCCAATCTCGGCAACGCCGCCGTTGTTGGAAAGCACAATTATCAGGTCGGAACGCTTGATGGTCGATAGTCGGTGCGCAATCGAAATGGTCGTATTCTTGCCTTTGAGCAACGAGGCGAGAGCAGCGTTGACAAGCGTCTCAGACTCAGCGTCCAACGCCGAGGTAGCTTCATCGAGGATGAGGATGTCGGGGTCCTTAATCAGGGCTCGTGCAATGGCAATCCGCTGCTTTTGGCCACCAGACAACTGCGAGCCTCGGGCACCAACTTGTGTATCCAAACCGGCGGGAAGATCGCTAATGAAGTTGCAGTTTGCCTGACGAGCTGCTGCGATGATTTCGGCTCGTGTGGCGTTAGGTTTACCGTACGAGATATTTTCGGCAATGCTGCCGGAGAACAGGACGGGCTCTTGCGCGACCATGCCGATGCGACGGCGCAAAGACTTGACGTTCATCTTTGAAATGTCGACGCCATTGATAGTGATAGAGCCGGAGGTAGGATTGTAGAAACGCAGCAACAGGCTGGCAACAGTCGACTTACCGCCACCAGACGGCCCTACTACACAAACGTTGCTACCCCAAGGGATCTCAAAGTTTAGGTCGTTGAATATCTTGACAGCCGGGCGTGTGGGATATGCAAATGAAACATTTGAGAATTTGATAGGACCTTGTGCCGACTTGACCTTGAGTCCAACCGTCTGAGAGATGCCGGGCTTTCTATCCTGAAGCTCGAACAAACGACTGGCAGCGCCGACTCCCTTCATGAGCTCAGAATAGAAAGATGATAGACCGAACAAGCTGGATCCTGCGAAAGCCGTGTACATCATGAAAGAGGTCAGGTCCCCAAGACTCATAGCCCCGTCACGAACGAAGTTGCCGCCTACGATGAGCATGGCGAGAATGGTCATGTTGCCGGCCCAGCCCGTCGAGGCAAAAAATGTTGCTGCAATCGTAGACTCCTTCTTTCCCAAAGCAAATATCTTCTTGACCTGGTTGTTGTAGCGAGCGACCTCTTGGACCTCACCGACGAACGCCTGACTTGTTTTCACGTTCCCGAGGCGCTCTTCGGCAATTTTGGTCAATGTGCCCAAGTTCTTCTGAATGCCCTTGCTCACGTTCCTGATAGCGCGTCCGTAGAAGAAAGCGCCGACAGCAACGGGCGGCAGCATGATCAGGAGTAGTCCAGTCAGCTTTGGGCTAAGCCAAACCATGACACAAAAGCCGGCCCCTCCGCTGAACAGAGCTCTCAGACCATCGCTAATGTTCTGGGTGATGGACTTGCCAACAATAACAGTATCTGAGCTGAGGCGTGAGATGAGATCTCCAACTCGGTTCGCATCAAAGAACTCGGCGTCTTGAACATATGTTCTTCTGTACAGGGACGATCGCAGGCGGGCGACGACTCTCTCGCCGACAATGCGCAGGAGGATGACTCGTCCAAAGTTGGCCATGGCTCCAACTGTCAAAATGACGCCCAGGGCAGTAAAGAATTGCGGCATAGTCAGTCCGAATAAGCGCGCATCCTCAGAAGGGTCTTTGGTAGCCATGTCGAGGATTCTGCCGATAGAGAACGGAATGGACATGGTGACACTGGACGAGATGACGAGGAAAACCATGGCGATTCCGAGCCACCGCAGCTCCGGTCGCGCAATCTTGATCAACCGCCATATCTCCGAGAAACCGGCCTTCCCGCCTTGTGATTTGCCCTCCTTCGATAGCTTCGCGCTCAGGTTAACCTGAGCGGCTTTGGCGGCCCTCTCGGTCTTTTGGAAGTCGTCAAGTTGTTCATCATTATGGATAGCTGGCTCGACCTGCTTCAAATGCTTCTGCTTCTCATGAGCCGTCTGTGATCGTGCAATGGGTTTTGAATCTTGTTGTCTGGGTAATCCGGTCGAGAAATAGCGCAGGACCGCAATCGGCCCGGGCAGTTGAGGCTTTTGAAGGAAAGGTGTTGGATGCCGTCGCTCAAAACAAGGAGTAGCAGCAGATCGCGTCGCAGATAATGACTGAACCGAATTGGAGTTCAAGTACCTGATCTGTGACAGGAGGGGATGTTGTAGGGTCGTTGATGTCGTCGAGGCTTTGCGCATGCCGGGGAGAGTCGCCAACAGTGAGCTTGAAGTCGTGGAGCAGCTCCCGACGCGGTGCGGGAGCAACACCGCCGATCGCGCTACTCCCGTGGCCATTGTAGAATGGGTTCTGAATGATATTATCTCATGGGAAGCGCATAGTCGAAGAGCGTGGAATAATGAGGCGTCATCATACGAAGAAAATGGGCGAGTTGCGCATGGATTCAACAATCAAGGCCCGGCTGATGAAAGGACGGGAAGGATTCCGTCATCGGTCTGCGCTTAAAATTCACAGGCTCAAATGCACCCTGACCGGTGACACGCGCTGCAACCGGGCCCTCTCGGTCATAGTCGGGCCGACAGTATCTTTGCGCCAAAATTTCACAGCGTATCGGCCAAGGAAGGCAGGAGCATCATCATCGATCGACCCAAGCCTTGCCCTGGAAAGCATGCAGATGATGGCGCTTCCTGCCTCTTTTGTACCATTTATCTCCTTCCATCAGTCTTTGCCATTGCTTTGAATACCTTCGCATAGACACGTACTCCGGGAAGAATATAACGCAGACGGAAAGGGGCATAAATCGAATATCTCAACCCACGACTGCTTTTCATTTTATTTTCTTGTCCGCATGGTTTTAATTGGTATTTCAATTATTTCGTACCTAACTGCCCATCCTGCATCTTAATGGCCCCCAGCTTCTCAATTCTTTTAGATACACGGTATCTGCACACTAGTGAGAATGCAGCGGAACCTGACGCTGCAATTGTCAAGTATGGTCTAGCACAAGGGAAGACAACCTTGCTCCGATCTTGCCACAGTTATCAACCAGCACTTGTGAGAGAGATCGAATACTGATGACAGTCCATGCCTCATGACTGAGCGTCCGAATAGTTCGGACTGCGTGATTACCGTTCAAGTCAAGAACGCGCCCTTTGCGTGCTTTCTAGTATAGTATTACAAGGTCCCTCCCAATGCCTTCAAACCGTCTTAGTTGCGTTGATGTCGGAGAGTCCGTGACAAAGACTTCCTCAAGCGCTGCCGTTGCTCTCCTTGCGCAGCATTTCGGCCACGTCAGCATCAATCTCATCATCGCCTCCAAGGTCCGGAAAGTCCTCTCCGTCAAGCCGGCGCCTCTTGTTCGCACCGTTGGCAGAGACAGGGATTGACTGGTACTGGGAGGCAAGAGCGGACAGCATTTCAATGCCGGATGCGGCGGGCGGCTGGAAGTCCGAGTTTGAAGCTGAGCGCCCGCGGTCTGTATTTGCATGGCGAGGGGCGGCCGGCTCATCAAGGACAGGTGGGGGGGTCAATGCCTCCACAGAAGGAGGCGTGAAAGCCTCAACAGGCGGGGGAGTGAGTGCCTCCACCTCTGGTCTCTCCGGCTCTGGTGTCTTGGATGCTCCGTTGCCAGGGGATTGTGAGGCCTCATGGACGGGCAGACCGCGCATGATGGCTTGCTCGATCTCGCGTCTCTTCTCCTCGGTCTCCGCTTTGCGCGAGGTCAATTCGCTGTACTGTCTCTCGTCATTCGCCAGCGCCTCCTGGGTTATACCGAGAAGTTTCTCAAGTTCGCCAATGAGACCTTTTCGGGCCTTAACACATTCTGCAACAGCCCCCTCGGCACTGGCCAAGCTTTTCAGTAGCCCATTGAGGCGTGCAGCGTAGACAGGGGCGGACGGCACAGGTACCGAGGGGTCTGTGATCTTATCGAAATCCTGATTGGCTGTGCTGATGGCCGTCTTGGTGGGCAGGTTGAGCTTTGAGACGTCCTGGTACGAGGCGACGAGCGGAGTGAGCTCAGAGGGTATAGACAAACCGCCTAAACCGGGGCTGTTGAAGGTTGCCTTTGCAGTTCCACGGGCCTTGTCAAGTTCTATTGCAGCGTCAGTACATCACAATGATACTCTTTGCAAGGGTACGCCTACCATCAACGCGCGCTTCGATAGCCTGTTGTACAGACGGCTCGAAGATGAAGCGGTCTTTCCATACATCGATGACTCTTCGAAGCTTGTTTTGAATCTCAGCCGGTGCTCCCTTGTAGGCCAATGACGTCGCTTCGGCGATGACTGGAGAGAAGGCGATGAGAAAATCCTCCTTGTGCCGAGCCTTTGACTGTTGGGTGACCT